CGCCGCTTTTAGCAATATTCCAGCAATATCACGGCGGGGGACACCAGAAATGGGCTTCACACATTGTACCCATGTCGGGAATCGAACCCGGGTCTTCTGCGTGACGAGCGAACGCTTTAACCACTAGGCTACCCAACCGCCCCCGTATAATAAGAAATCACACCCCTCTATATACATATAGTTTATAATTATGTATAATCATCTATATACATATAGTTTATAATTATGTATATAGAAGGGTGTGATTTTTTTCTACACGATTTTAGATCTATTAATGCTATACACGCTGTGACTCGAACCTCTCTTGTTTTTCATGTCAGACGTTTGGTACTCAAGTGCTCCTTGCGTAAGATATTAGGTGAACGCGATGACTAGCAATTCAATATTATGTTTTACAAAAATAAAATGCACGCACCCAATTTCCATGCTGCTTGTTGTGACGGGTGTTGTAACATGCTATACACGTCGTTTTCTTGTGGCGTTCTCATGACCGTGTTTGACCAGAGCCTTTCAATATCAGAGCGAGCGGGATGCATAGACACCCGTGTTAAAGTACATGCGTGTCACGTGTCTCTCATTTTGTACCCGACATCGTGGGAGAACACCACGTCGACAGTCGCGAGTCTCACAGATCCGACGTCTGTGTCAACAGGGAACTGTCACGCCATTGTATCACATCCTCGTCAACGATATCGACAAAAACAGACCAGACTTTATTCCGACGCAATAGCTTCAGTCAACAGCAGCGAGAGCGCCATGACATCCCGACTGCTCCGTACGAGTATAAACCTTAATATAGACTTGCACAAGTCTCTAAGGCGATACTTATTAGTTTAAATCATAATTTCTAGATTATTTTGATAACAAGAACAAGTTGTCCCTATAAGAGAATGGAGTCCTTGGAGGCTGTACTGTCCACAGATCTAGACTTGCCTATTAGGAGAATAGAATTACTTCAAATCCATGGACTTTTCTTTCAGTAAAACCTTGCAGCAAGGCTAGCCTTAATATTGCAGACACACATTCTGCTTCAGTAGACTGAATGTGAATTAGATATCAGTTTTAAGTAGTGCGAGTTGTAAGATCCTTGATGTTAGAAGACGGGAGACGCGCGTATGTGTTGTAAGCTCTAGTCGTTATATTTGACGGAATTTATTTCAAAATAATGTGCCTTGCGTACGAAAAATAACATTTACAAAGATATGTTTTGTAGGTTATCTCCTGAGAGCATAACCGTAAAAAAACAAGTCAGGACGAGAGGAATTCAGCTGCTTGGAAGAGTTTCTTTTGAAAGTGCTAGTTCCCTGCCCGCATCAAATATGCCTACTTTGGACTACTTCTGAAAGATTTTGTTAGGAAAGGAAAGATCGGCGAGGAAAATATTCTTAAGCCTAAATTTTGTCCACGTTTGTGGATCCTTGAAGAAATAAAAAGGCAAAATGAGACATACCACATCTGCTCGGACAAGCTAGTCATGCGCAGAACTATGCTCTCCGTTGTGAATGCCACCATGATGTGTTTTCCCGTAATCCCCGGAGCAATCAGCTTTGATCCTCTTTGCAATAAACTCCGCCCTTCAGATGATAAAAGCATTAATGGTGTTTCAGATTGACTGCTTTATTTCGGATTTTATCACCTTCGTTTAGCTTTAAACATATACACATCTTACCACAAAAAGGCCTTTACTACACGAGAATAAGTTCGAATTATAGCCATGGAACATTTAGCGTCGTAACTTCGCACAGTGACCAGTTCTAGGAGACTAGAAGGTGTCCAAGTCGCTGGCATCTAGCCCCACGCACCTGTTTCTAACGGCGCATTCCTCCCAGTTTAAGGTCGGAAACCAAGCTGACGAACACTACTTTGTAGCTATCGTAGCCATCTGTACTTGGGAGCAACAAACTGATAACTTTATCAATTTAGCCTCATTTCGAGGAAATACTCTAAAGTTTAAGTACGATAACGGAAGTCAAGCGGTGCGCTTCAAAGAGTGTATAGTAAACGCGGAAACTAACGAATCATTTTTCTAGTTTTCTGGACAGAATATACTTTTTTAATGACCTACAAACATCAGTTTTCCATATGTTCATTTGTATGTGGTAGTGATACTGGGGCGATATGTTTCCGCTTTCAAATGAACTGAAAATGTTTAAATCAATAATGTAGGACTATGCGACACTGGATTAGTATCAGATGCTTGTCTGGCCATGGTGGTCCAATCTGTCAGTTGTCGCCTAGCTACAGGTGAGAGGCGGTAATCCAGCGTGGCAGATTTACGTTAACGCTTCAGGTGTGCATGTCCAGCTTTAACGAGTTGACCTTGAAGGGCCAGGGGTGACCTGATCTGACCTCTGGCCAACAGGCCGATATCCATGGTCGAGATATATACATCTTAAAGTATTCCCACAAAGCTTTCTGAAGTGACAGGCCAGGAGTATATGGTTATAGGCAGGTTAATCTCCTAAGGACACATGCTTTGCTCGTAGTTCAGATATGTGGACAGTGCCATGTGAATGGAATCTGGTAACGAAGGAGATTGTGCTGATTCAGCGGTCTGTTGATGAGGATCCACTATGTAGAGACAAAGATGCTATTTCATCAGCATACCTTTCTTTACTGCAGTGACACAACTGGTCATTGAAACGAGTCAAATTACAGCACCCACAAAACACATTGTCCTCTCGGTTGCTAGCCTTGCTCCAAGGCTGTACTGTAAGATAAGTCCATGGATGTGGAGTAATTCTATCCTCGTAATAGGCAAATCTAGATATGTGGACAGTAAGGGCTCCAGTCTCTTATAGGGACAACTTGTTCTTATTATTTACAATATCTAGAAACTATGATTTAACCTAATAATTATTACTTTAGAGACTTGTGAAAGTCTACTCAGCTGCTTGCCGATGTTTCTGAGTATAAACACGTGGTGTACATTCCACTGTAAACATATTTCATCTGTTGACTTTTTGAAGAAGTAATGTTTTGTGATCATTTTCGATGTAAAAAATGCTATTGTGACTGCATCATCTGTAATGTGAACACTGCTTCAGGCATCGTCGTCAGTGCAAGTGGCGTGTGACCACACTAATGGAGGCCATTAATGTATTCGTAGGGAGTTTAAAGGTCCCACGACCTGAAGCGAATGTACATTATCCCGACACAAATAGAGTGAGCATTGTGTGCTATAATATGGCTTTCTCCCTGCTACACCGACCAAGACATTCAGAGTTGTTGGTGAAAGGTAGCATATTTGTAAAATTTGTCATAAAAACTGGCAAACGAATTATTTGTAGGCACTTAGGCGTTATATTGAATGTTTTGTGTGTATATATATGGGGGTAATGGATTTACGCGGAAGGTCACTCCTATACCTATGGAGATTTTCGATACATACTTGACAAATTTACGACCATGTTTTCCACCCAGTAAACATTTCTCTGTCGGCTGCCTTTGACCATTCATACATGCAAACAATAACAATAAACAATCATCTCGAGGACATTGCTGGATTGTCATCCTATCCCGAACTAGTCTCCAGGCTGTCTTTGTCTCAGGTCTTCGTGAACAGCAGATTGATCGCAAAGTCAACCAACAATATGATACTATGTCGAGATGCCAGTTTTATTCTGTGTCGGTATGGGACTGTATTTAATGTCTTCATGTCGTTGTTTGTTTGACGACTAAAATCACCTTCTGTTGAGCCGTCATATTGCGTGGACAAACACCCAGAATCTGATACAAGACTAGGAGACCTTGTCCCAACAACCACCAATTCGTGTATTTGTTTATGTGGCGCCAATGTTTGTCAAGTTTGCTTCAGGTATCTGCCCTTGGTTGTGTGACAATATCACATGCATGTGAGGGCTCCGTGTTGCCAACTGCACATTGATGTGTGTGTCGCCATAGAGCCACCAAGGTCAGGGTTGTCGACAGCCTCAGATTAATGTGTGGGTTATAGGGGCGACATTGCACATGCGTGGATTGAAGGTCATATTGAAACAGGGGATTAGTGTAGGGTTATTCGCAGCATTCGATCCGACAGGAAACAGGTCTATGATTTGGTTATGGATCAGGCAAAAGCTGTGTCAATAAAATCATATTAGGTATTCCTGGTTGTTTCAAAATAGGGATTGTTCCTCTTTGATGGCGGATATTGAAAGTGGCCCTCCCTGCAAATACAGTTGTTGATTGTCTGTGTTTAGCGTCATCATCTTGCTGTCTGTCTTGTGTATTACCCATCATTGCAATGATAAATAAATAATATCAACGACTCTGGGCCTCGTAATCATCTTTGGTTATACTGGAAATAATGCCTAATTAATAGCTCATGTAAAATGGAAGTAATTACGATCCTTTATCAACAGCGGTTCGCGAATGGCCAATAAATGTTTAATCACTTTCACATCATTAGAATGAAGAATGTCATTATTTGGTCGGTCACTCGGTGAACAGATACTTAGGTAGTCAGTCATCACAGCTTTGCCCATGGAATATTTCAATGATTGATAACATCTAGATGTTCCTGATTTATCATAGAAAACGGAGTTATAAGATGAGAAAGTGATCCTTCCTGGAACATTAACAATTCATTGTCCGAAGTATCACATTACCGTCCTGTAACTCTACAACAATTATACGGTTTGAAATTAAATGTTTGGATTTTTTGTATTTATTAAAATATATCCAACAGGGGTATTGGGACATCATTTGTTAAAAATAGAACACGTGACCCAGCGTTTGTTCATCCCAGCTGGTTTGGCAGCATAGGTGTTACATCCTATCGCGTTCTTCCAGGTCATAATGTGTCCACAAACTGGCTCAACCGCCGTAAAGCCTCACGAACGCAACACCCTGGCCGGTGGTTCTGGAGCCAGGTTCTAAGTTGTACAGTCACACTGAATTAACGTGTAGGATTGTAATGCAGTTGTTGGTAATTATGTATGATGTAGTACTGTGTTGTTTTGTGGTGAGAGCACCGTGTTATTGTCTGCCCCTGTTTCCAGATTGTCCGCGAGGTGGAGCTCCAGAAGGACCTGAAGCACAAGCACGTGGTGGAGTTCCACAGCTACTTCGAGGATAACGAGAATGTGTACATCATCTTGGAGAACTGCAGTCGGAAGGTGAGACCATTATCGCGTCACATCAAAGATTTTCAATACACAGACACTATACGTTCCTGCTTCCTACACCCCCTGCCAATTGGTTCCGACCAAGAGTCATCTGAACTCTGATTGGTCTCTTCTGTGCACGTGACCTGACAATCATTACCCCTGAGCAAATCAAAACCAGACCCGTGAAGATCCGGTGTAGAATAGGTCTTCAGCAACCTATGTTTGCCGTAAGAGGCGACTAACAGGATCGGGTGGTCAGGCTCGCTGACTTGGTTGATGCATGTCATCGTATCCCAATTCCGTGGATCGATGCTCATGATATCAGTCACTGGATTGTCTGGTTCAGACTCAAATATTTACAGACCGCCATCATTCACTGGAATATTGCTAAGTGCGGCGTTAAACAACAATCAAAGAAACAAAATAAATCAAAACCGGTAAGACCCAACGTTCCCAATGATCGATCAGACCAAAAGTACCCTAAAATCGAAACTATTCAAGGTACTTCAAGATCGATCAGAACAGCTGCCCCAAATTTTATGGAAGTTCCTGCAAGACAAGACGTCACAGTCAACCAATTACCATCGATGGCGGAAGAACGTTCTATGACTAGCATGGAATGCCCCTTCCGCGTCGTCTCGGGACGCCTTTAGGTTATGTCACCTTCAGGTGAATGAAGCTACAAAACAAGGCCCACGTGTTGAGGAATTTTGAGGTTCAGTGAGGAAGTCATCTTCGCGAAGTTCTTGGATTGTCGTATAACCCAGATTCCATAACACGTGGTGGCAAGGTAACCCTTGGTCCATCAATCCTCAGACACACGCTGCCATCATTTTGCTAAGGATATAATGCTCTCGGTGTTTGTGTAGATCAGTCCGGCTATTGTCAATACATTATGGCATTTCCACGTCGGATGTAGACTTGAGAGAACTCGCAACCCCTCACATTGCTTCAAAGAGCGATTTCTCGTGGATTGCTCAAATCTCGCGATCGTGAGCAGCATAAACGAGGTGTCGCGTGACCTGGCGAACAGATCATCAAGGATCGGACATGCATAAGCTCCGCTTTGTAGGACTTGGCATAGTTGATATTGGTTTGATTTGAAGGGGAAATCTTCATGTATTGTTTAAGGAAACGGGTATCTGAGATTTCCTTACGTAGTGGTCCGTGTATCGCCAGCATGTTTGCGTCATGTCGTCCTGTCCTGGTTTAGCAAACACATGGGAGGTGTTAAGTTTCGGGGAAGCTACACGCGAGATCACATGGTTTGCTCAGCTGCATGCTGCACATGAGTTTTGTGATGGGGATGGAACACAACCGTCAGCCCTGCAATGACTGGGCTCCCGCAGTGGCTTTTAAACTGGGTTTCTGCGACCCTCGTCTATCTACATTTGCGTCATCAGCAGTTTTGGGCTGTAGAATGTCAACATTGCATGGTGGCGTCGAACGACAACACGTGTTGGGAGCAGACGACACATTTTAAGATGGACATGGTAAACAACCTTGCAAATGTCAATGACTGTGCTTTCAATAACACAATATACACGTTTATTCAACGAGCAACGTACATGTTTCAGCTAATCCCCAGACGCAGGGGTCACATTGTTTTTATCAGTCGATATGAACGACCGGAGTGGAAATATTCTGGTCTAGTGCCGCAACACCAATGTAATTAAAGCAGAATAATGTTTCTAAAAGTAATTTACTTCCAATACAATACCCGACTGTGAACAGCTGTCGTGGCTTAGTATCATTTACAATCGTTATCTGTATATGTAAATACCTAGTGGTGCAATGGCCCCAGGAACCACATGCCCTTGGCGTTCTAGTACCCCCACCCCCACCCCACCCACCCCCAAACCAAAGGCACCGAATTTCAACTCTGTCCATATATAGGTTTCAGGAATTTCTATTTTAATTTTCTTAATTGATTTTATATTTTATTAATTCTTGCTTGACAAGCTCTGTGTATTTTCTTTGTCGGGTTCTTGGTCTGTTTTACTGTTGCCAAGTTATGACAATCCACAAGATACCCGTTAATCAGAACAGACACCTACCCCTTTAGTCACAAACGCAGCAAGTCGCAACAATGCCCCATAAAGTCAACAAATCTCACACAGCGAACCACAATGTCCGCCCTGTTGCTTACAAGCTTCAGCAACCCATTCGTCTGCATGGGAAGTTAACTTTTCCCAGCAACTCGGGTGAAAATTTGCTACATTCACTTTTGTGGTTTAATTTTGCACCAATTGAGAGGTTTATCTTGCGCAGTGGGGCAATCACAAGTACCAAGTTGTGTATTATACCCCGCATTCCAGCGTTTGGGGAATATAAAGGATGTATAAGGTACCCGCTCAACTACCCGAGCCCGACATGCCCTGGTACCCCCGGGGCTGTCATCAGCTGACTGGCACCGGGCCCCCTGCCCCCGCTCAGCTTCCATCAGAGGATGCGGCACAGCTTTGCTAGAAAAAATCTGTGACTTATGCGCTCATCCGAGCCGCTAAGTTCCCAGCCTCGGGTTGCCCCGGGTCTTCCCGTGTCTGGCACTACCCGGGTAGCACATTAGCGTCTGCTGCATTTTGAATGAGCGTCTATCAAACAATCAGGGTAGGCGGTTGGTGTTTAGGTTTATTTCCTGGATTTATGTTGTTCGGCAATAGAAATATCACAACACAGTGACCCCACTATTCCCACACATCTCGGCTTTACAAGCATTGGGTTACGTGGCCGCCGGCTTGATATATGAAACATGACATGTCAATTTATGTATATTGAGTAGAGATCGTTTTGTGCAAAGAATTATTCTTTTGTGTCTTTGTTTACAACAAAACCAACCCTCCTCATATCGGACTATAAATTTGTCTCGGGCAACACTTCGCTATAGAAGTGTAATAATTTTGAACGCGACGCCAATCATCATTTCGCCCCACTTGTAGGTATAACATATAGTTCCAGAAATAACTTTTATTTTATTTAAAAATATCAATCCAAATAAATCCAAGAGTAAAACCAAATGGATCTCAAAACAATTTCTGGGTTTAGGCAATATGGACTTGCCATATCATTTAGAATTCAATATTAATTTATTCTCCAGGGTCTGGGAGATGGCCACTCATCTGTCTCTCCCTAGGGCTGTAACGATACGATACATATGTCGATTGGAATGTCGCAATACGATACAAGAACTCGACCACACGTATCGTGGCACACCCTAACCTCCCACCCCTGGTGATTCCGCGTTAGAATAGGCCCCCAGTAAGCCATGCTGGTCGTAAGAGGCGACAACAGAGATGGGCATGGAGGTGTGTCATAATCGTACCCCCACAGCATGGTTTGTTGTTCACAATATCAATCACTGGATTGTCTGGTCCTGACTCGATTATTTAATAAACAAAGTGTTACCACCCACTCTACCTTCTGCACTGTTGAGTTTGTCCTTGGTGCTGCGACCGCCTCCGTGGTCTAGTGGTAGAGCGTCCGCCCGGAGAGCGGAAGGTCCGGGGTTCGATCCCCGGTCGCGTCATACCAAAAGATGTTAAAAGATGGTACTTGTTGTTACCCTGTCTGGCGCTCGACATTTAGGGGCTAAAACAAGGACTGGTCGGCTCGGAGTCAGTGTACTCTGTCTGAGTGGGGTATTCGTGTTAACCTGCGGCATGGTATCTCAGTGAGCTAGCACTATAAATCGGCATCAGTCCGGACTAGTACAAGCAGCCACACAAACAACCACACACACGTACATGCACGTCGCTATATAAGTGCAATAATCTTGGACGCGACGTTAAACCCCATTTCACCTCACCTCCTTGGTGCTGTCGAACCACGCTATCCTATGAACACCGCGTATCAGTTGTCATAAACGAACGAGGCCATGCATAATTTGGTATCGGGAGTGGTGACGATTAACCTGTACATAATGTCCATAAAGTATCACAGAATATGGCCTGGGGTTGCAGTAATCCAGCCTCGAGACAGTTAAAGGATCTTATGGTGAATTAAAACAACACATAAGGGAATGCTAGGAATGCAATCAATGACAGCTGCCTCCACGATGGGAGCTTGTCCTGCGTGGGACATTTTGGGATCACGTGACCGGAGACAAAGCCGCGACGCTGAATGAACGGCGTTGCGTTGAATAATGTCTATTTTTGGACCATGCGATACGATTTGGATAGCGTGACGGAATTTTCTGTAATTTTGGGAGATACTATCTGCCAACAAATATGTGTATGATAGGTTTTATCGCCTCTTTTACAGGCGTGTGGATAATTACGTCATGAGTCATGAAATAGTTAGTATTTTCTCCCTATTCGTCTGTCGGCGTGGTGAGTAGGTGTACAAGCGCCGCCTCTGTGGGCAGATAACATTATATACTGTGGGAAAGGGACTGGTTTATTGAGGGTACATTTACGGAAATTCTCACGGTTGTGACTCATTATATTTCAATACTAGTATTGTAGTCCCTGGAATTCAGTTTCCGAAAAATATATAATTTTTTTCATCGTATCGTTAACCGGCACACATAACCAAATCATAGTGTGTTAAGCGAACCGAAAACTGTCATCTATTGAGTGTCACAGGAGCGTCATATGGTGCTATAGAGAGTCATTAAGTATATCGTCCATGAAATATATCAGTACACATAACAATTTTCTCCTCAGAATTTTTTTGCCTGATGCTGTTTAATAGAGCTGGCTAGACTTGCTTTTTCATAATATAGACTTGTTTTGGTTTCCTAAATTAGTATTCATAGTATTCCAATCATGGCTACGGACTGTTTGTGTATGGGCTGGTGGGGTAGCGTAGTGGTTTAAGCGTTCGCTCGTCACGCCGATAACCCGGGTTCGATTCCCCACATGGGTATAATGTGTGAAGCCCATTCCGGTGTCCCCCGCCGTGGTATTGCTGGAATATTGCTAAAAACGGCGTAAAACCATACTCACTCACTTACTCACAATGTGGGATACTCCATGTCAGATTTCATGGCAGCATAACCAAGTAGCACGTGTGTTTTGGAGGACAAGGTTGATGACGGTTCCTGTCACCTGTCTTCAGAGACCATCTGTTGTAGACAAAAGGCCCAACTAGTTCACACAATAATCCTGCTTCTGCAACTTCAGTTTGCGTTAAGAGCAAAACTATTTAAGCCATTCGGACTCCTCCTCTTCTGACCTTGAGGCGACCACCTACACCCCCTCCTCGGTTGTGGTCCAAGTCGTAAGGTCAGATTGTCTACGGCGAAGGAATTCCTGGAATCAGTGAGCAAACTTGCTGTTTCTGCCGGAACAAAGCCCATCTTGTCTTCTTCCGCAAACATGAACAAATAGTTCCTCTTGATCGTGCCACAACCCCCCTCCGAGCTGACAGCATGGCGCTGCTAAAGGCGTCATTCGGGCAGTTATTGTTTGCCTTCTCTTCATTTTGTTTTTATGCCATCCTTATCTGTTTGAGTTCAGACTTCTCAAATAAATGGGGATAGAAATATTTGGGATGAAGTATTTTTGAAGCAGAAATGTGTAATCGAGTGTGATGTTCAGGCGCAGTGTGCCAATGAAAGGTTGGACAGACGGACCAACAGAAACATGGCCCCTGACCACCATTTGCACTGCCCATCTCATCAAACAACAGAACGACAATGGATAGGTCACTTCTCTTTATTTCTTACGAAATAGATGCAAAAGAAGCTATTAGCGTGACATACAGGAACGACGCGGTACGCTCGTGTTTTTAACACATTCGCGACCGCCTCCATTTTCTAGTGGTCGAGCGTCCACCCGGAGAGCGGAATGTCCGGGGTTCAATCCCCGGCCGCGTCATACCAAAAGACGTTAAGAGGTGATTCTTGTTACCCCGACTGGCGCTCGGCATTAAGGGGCAAAAACAAGGATTTGTCGGCTCAAAGTCAGTATACTTTGTCTGAGTGGGGTATTCATGTTAAACTGCGACATGGTATCTCAGAGGCCTTGCACTATAAAATCGGGGGCGGTCGGGTAGCCTAGTGGTTAAAGCGTTCGCTCGTCACACCGAAGACCCGGGTTCGATTCCCGACATGGGTAAAATGTGTGAAGCCCATTTCTGGTGTCACCCGCCGTGATATTGCTGGAATATTGCTAAAAGCGGCGTAAAACCATACTCACTCACTCACTCACACACTATAAAATCGGCTTTAGTCCGGACTAGTACAAGCAGCCACACACACATATACGTGCATGCACGTCGCTATGTAAGTACAATAATCTTGAACGCCATTAAACCTAACCACCTCATCAGCCAGCATGCGCTATCGCATGGATGAGGCAGGCTTGACCGAGTCTTCCCGTCCTCACCGAGTCTTCCCGAGTCTTCCCGAGTCTCCCCGTCTGCTGCAACTGCTGGTTGAGACGCCATAAAAACCACACCGCGCCAACATAGTCTGTACTTACCCACGTCGGGACAAAGGTCACGTTTCGTAACATTGCACGGAGGGCGGGGTTGTAGGGTCACTGAGAGGTCAGACCAGCACCTGCACCCGACTGTGACCTTTGCAAGTGACCTATGACACAGCAGGTAATACCTACATCAGAGGCCTGTGTTCTCCCGACAGTCAAAACTTAACATTTCCCACCAGCCTTGACGTGTCTACCCATCGTATGTCTTCAAAGTAAGCCGCGATCATGCTAGAACGCTGGTTGCCCTTGATACCAGACTGTGCAAAGTGGGAGAACCAGATGTTTTGATGGTTAAGGTGGCGGTAGGGTGGCTCACTCCTGTGCTTGTCACGCCGAAGACCTGGGTTCAAATCCTAAATTGTGTTACATGTTTGAAGTCCATTCTTGGTGTTTCTCTGCCCCCTCCCCAACACACACGCACACCTAATCGTTTTAATATAAAATGTGCATCATGTGCACACATTTTAATTATGACGGACATTTACACATAAATGAAATTGGGAGATTGGGAGTGTTTGGCAGCGTGACTCCTGAAAGCTTCTAGTGCTCTGGTTCTGCTCCACACTAAAGCACATGATACATGTGGTCTCTCCTTGCTTAAGTGACTTTTCGAAATATTTCTCTGTTCACCCACTGGTGAATTGGGTACCCGGTAGGGTGAGGTGGTAACATGAATGTTAACCTTTTAATGCCCCATGGCAGCTTGGCACGTATACTCCCCAGGGAGCTGAGAATGAACATCGCGTGCAAATTGATCCAGATGTGATAATAGTTTCAACATACATAAATATGGAGTTTAGCGCTAATGTAAGCATTATTATTACCATTATTATTGTTAATTGTTATTATAATGTTAATTGTATACGAACTGTGCAATTTAACTCGGTGAGCTTTAGTTTACGATCTAAGTATTACGTTTGTTGTCTATGTGTTCTGTGCAAGACAACCGTTCCTGTACTGTATATCTACATTTATGTTCCTCAGTCACTGGTGCACGTGCTCAAGCATAGGAAGACGTTGACAGAACCGGAAGTGCGCTATTACTTGAAGCACATCGTTGAGGGCGCCACGTACATCCATGACAAAAATATCATCCACCGTGATCTGAAGCTGGGCAACATGCTACTTAACGAGAGCATGGAACTCAAGATAGCCGACTTCGGCCTGGCCACAAGGGTCGACTTTGCTGGAGAAAAGAAAATGTACGTACCGAGTGAACCTTCACCTCGCATGTCACTTCCGGTTTCTCGTCCTTACAACCATTGACAGGAACCTCTTCTTGTCAGCCAGTATAATTGCATTGAACTTTGTGTTCTTATTGTTTTAATATCCAAGATTTAATTCATTAATGCAACACATGTTATATTTTGAGTTTACGCTTACTTAGTAACGTACAAATTAAAGTACTTTTTGGGGTGTTCTCTCATCAGGGATTCGAACCCACAATTCCTAATTCATGTATCAGGCAATATATCACTTGTGGGCGGTGGGGTAGCATAGTGGATAAGCGTTGGCTCGTCATACCGAAAACCGGGTTCGAATTCCCGCATGGGGATGTGTAAAGCTCATTTGTCGGTATCCCCTGCCGTGATATTGCTGGGATATTGCTAAAAGCGGCATGAAACCATACTCACTCACTCACTCACTCACTCACTCACTTTTACTTGTTCATGTTGTTCCTGGTTCATGTTCTTGTTCCTTGTTCTGCAGGACAGTGTGCGGCACGCCCAACTACATTGCTCCCGAGGTCCTCCAGAAGAAAGGCCACAGTTTTGAAGCCGACATCTGGGCAGTTGGATGTATAATGTATGCATACCACTTACTTATTCATCCCATAGATATGCATCAGCTATGCTGATACTGGATATCGAATGTCACGTGTGGCTATTTTTGATAATGATATCTCTTTAACTCCGAGCATATTTGATAATATGTCAATTTTTAACATTTATAATATGGTTGCTTTATGAGGATACATTTTGTTGCAAATGCAGTTAATTTCACGAACTACCTTCCCATTTAACGTCTGTGGTGTGTCGCGCAGGTACGCTTTGCTGGTGGGGAGACCGCCGTTCGAGACGTCCACGTTGAAGGAGACGTACCTGAGGATCACGGAGAATTCGTACACACTACCCAACAGTCTTTCCAACTCCGCCAAAAACTTAATCCGCAAGTGTCTGTCACCCGACCCTGCCAGGCGCCCCACGCTGGACGACCTTCTGGCGGATGAATACTTCACGTGTGGTTACATGCCCCGTACCCTTACGCCAACCGCTTGCTCCACCGTGCCAAAGTTCCCAGTCTACACGAAATTCAATAGGTGGGGATTTACCCTAACATGGGTAGCATACAATTCTTGCTTTTAAGTCAGACATGAAACAAGTACGCAAGCCAACTCTTGTAATGTCGAATAACTCCTGTTATGACGAAGTTGGGTATGGCGAACTGTGGGGTATTACTAACTCAATATTTACCTGCTTAGGGTGGTGATAAATGTCATAATTACATGCGAATAACGAACTTCGGATATAAAAAATATGTTTATTCGGCCTCAAGGTGTTCGTCATATCCGGAGTAGAATGTTGTTCATCAATGTCTGAGATACCATTACTTCAACTTCACAGAAATGAGATACGCTATGATTTGGTAGAAATGGTTAAAGAAGAGGACAGAGTGAGTGAGTGAGTTGGGTTCAACGCCGCCCCTAACAGTATTCCAGTTATATCACGGCGTGTCAGCTTATTGTGGGAGGAAAGCCCGAAGTGATGCCGGTCTCAGACGTTTACCACTTCGGTGAAACCCACGAGCACGGGTATGGTGCTGACAAACCTAGAAACATAATCGGGGCGAACCGGGCTTCGAACCCACAATCATAGGTTTCTGGCGTGCCCAAGGGACGCACTCTGCACAGCGAATCGCGGCGCCTCAGACGACTGGGCCACCCGTGCCCCCTAGACGAGGACAGAACTAGACCTGTAGACCGAAATAGAACTGAATATCGGCAATGCGCTACCACTGCACTGGGAAGTTCTATACACCAGTGTGGATGTGTGATGCCTTGTATCAAATATTGACAGTGGGCAGTGTTTGTTGAGGGAGAACTCGCACAGCCCTGCAGAGGAGCTCAGACAGAAGGATGGCAGGGTTTAATGAAGCCATTGATTTACCGTGCTGTCATATCACTTCTTGATCAGATTTACATACTGCACTGTCTGGGCCGGACGCGCAAGTCGATATCGTAGTTAATTAGTACATACTGACCTGATCATTAATTTACAGTACATGATTGCCATGAATATACACAAACTGTTCCTGTATTGTTTGCACTAGACCTGACGTTGACGAACAACAAACAAAATCATAATGATAAATTAATATTAATAATAACACTGATATGTCAAACGCCGAAATGCGTGAGCTTTACGAGTTAGTATACGTCAGTAGTTATTAGGTCTATGTAATTAGTATTAGTTAACAGGCTTGATTTGGAAATATAAAATAACTATTATTAATATTTCTACAATATCAATATCTAAACCCAAGTGACAGGAATGCCCCTCTCCCATATTATTAATATCAACTAAGATCTTTTTGTGAGTTCCCAAATTATAGACCTTCTTTGGGTTTACAAATGTCGCATCTATTAAAGATTCAATCTTGCCTTGAACCATTTAATCAAAGAGGGTCCCAATGATCAGCGGCCAGAACACAATGCCTGGATTTATCCCGAAGAAGGTTCTCAAATAGGACGAACCATAGGCTACATTTTCCCATGATAAATAAGAACGACAGGCGTGACATGGGGACAAGGCTACATGACCTGACCAATGCACACAAGGATAAGAGGGATAGGGTTCATCGCGTCCCCACAGGGCCAGCCTGCCCGATTAGGGTCCTCTATTGTGCCCGCACAATCAGGGCTGTGTGGCTATTGTGCAGCTATTGTGCAGTCTGCCAGAATCTGTTGTGCATCTTTCTTTGCATTAAGATCTGTGGGAAAGAGCTACCCCATCTGACCCCCGTCTGTCAGAGTAGAATATTTGCTTCACATCTGTCAGAGCTTCAATGACCCTGTGTATTCTTCTTATGCAAGGCTACAATAATTTAGGAATAATATCGTAGTCACGATTCTGTAAACATGAAAGTGTAAATAATGAAATAATTGTATGAGTATATTTTATGTTGGTTTTCTTGTTTTTGACACAGTATATGTATATTGAATATATTTTTGTTTGTTTGTTTGTTGTTTAACGCCACACTCAGCAATATTACAGCTATATGACGGCGGTCTGTAAATAATCGAGTCTGGACCAGACAAACCAGTGATTCACATCACGAGCATCGATCAACGCAATGGGGATATGATGACATGCATCAACCAAGTCAGCGAGCCTGACCACCCGATCCCGTTAGTCGCCTTTTACGACAAGCATGGGTTGCTGAAGACCAGTTCTAACCCGGAACCTTCACGGGACGAATGTTCTGGTGTTCTTGTTTTACGTGCAGTAACTATCTACAAATACCCCATAGCCACAGTGAGGTGACGTTGACACTAAAGCGCTATTTCCATAGACTCGTTCTTGACCTTATGTAATCTGTTTGTTTCTGACCAGACGTGTTCTTTCTTCAGACCCCTGTCCTATGCAGTTCCCGATACCAAGAACGATGCCATGGGTAAACTTGGCAATGCCTTGAGCCAGATCCAGCTGAAGGGAACGTCAGAAACAATCATCCCCGATAAGGAGGGCGAGGCAAGTATCCCTTTAATACAAAAGCTTCATCAACCTCTAAATACAGATGCCCTAACCTTGAGGCCTTCGTGCAACATTCCTCATGACATAATGTCTCTTTGAGCTTATTCTGATCAATGGGTCTAACCTGCAGTTGGCATTTTTCTAGTGCATGTGCAAAAGTTAGAACAAATAGAAGAGGGCAGAGAGTAGCTCCTTGCTGTCCCCCTGCTCCACTGTTAGCAGGCCTCAACTCATTGCGCTACGTGTTGAGACTGGACAAAACAGTGTATGTCGCACCAAGCGTCTGTCCCTGGCTGTGATGACAGTAAACAAGGGGACCAGATCTGCGATACTCGCCTCGCCGTAGTTGCAGCCCCAAACAAACCTTCAGCACTCTCACGTAGCACTCTATTTGTACAATTAACTCATTTTCTAAATCTTCGGGCAAATAACTGGCGTGTGTGTGTTCTGTGTAAATATCGTTGTTTGGCATTTCATGATACAAGGCCTCTCGCCACTTGGTCCGGTCAGAAATTTAAGAAAGGTTAAAAAAAACTAAATAAACTTTATTTGATTTAATTAAATTAAGTACTGTCACGGTGGTGTATTGAAAAGTCCGGGGATGGTCTACCCACAGCTCATCACGACATTTATCACCCTTGGGGTGATATAACTCAAGCTGGCTGACATTTACTTAGACTGTTGTGTTGACAGACCAGTACACTAAAACATCCCCAGGCCTCTCAATACCAGCGTCCATGTCAATCTGATCTTGACTAAAATAATTAGAAATTATATCAAACAGTTTGTTTTTTTAAAAATCGGTTAATAATTTGAAAAATAACAACCAATTGTTCCTACATCAGGTGTGTTACGACCGCCAGCCACTGACTGCAGGTCGCGAACAACACATGGTGACTGATGTTAGTCCCGCAGTGAAGACGGCAGTGAAGGAAGTCATAGTTGACGTCATCTCCATGGACCGCTCTGATTCGCCGCCGCAGCACCGAGGTGAATACCACGTTAACAAAAAAAATCCCACGAATCATGAACACAACGTAAACAAATCGAAATATAACATTATTAATGAAATCACCCTTAAAAACCATCAAATTAGTTAAATATTAAATTGTGTTTATACTGGTCACGTTTGTCTCCACTATGTTGACGTCACGCCGTTTGTTTCAGCTTCATCCCCTAATCCTCGCTCTGCAGTCACTCTGCTCGACGTCATCAACACCTGTCTCGAACACATGCCAAAAGGTAGTGACGTCAAACACACGGATTACAATAATCAAAAGCAAAAAAGTAATTATAATATGCATTAACTTTTACAGGACATCGTTATCTGTTCGTTAAAAATGAAAACATCAAATTTTACATATAATAATATATACAGTTGACAAATGGAACTAAATTAAGTATTCGTCAAGTCTTTGGGTATTTACTGGTATCCTTGCTGCCGGTATCCACTGTGTCACACCACATGCATTTCGCGCATCTCCTCAACCCGTGAACATCCGGGTTAGAATAGGTCCTCAGCAACCCATGCTTGCCGTAAAAGGCGACTATGCTTGTCGTAAGAGGTGACTACCGGGATCGGGTGGTCAGGCTCACTGACTTGGTTGATGCGTGTCATCGTTTCCCAACTGCGTGGATCGATGCTCATGATGTCATACCGGATTGTTTGGTCCAGACTCGATTATTTACAGACCGTCATCATATAGCTGGACTATTGCTGAGTGTAGCGTTAAACAACAAACAAACAAACAAACATTAAGACTGACGCGATCGTGAAGATCCGGGGTAGAATAGATGCAACCCATGCTTGTCGTAAGAGGTGACTAACGGGACTAACTCACTGACTTGGTTGATGCATGTCATCGTATCCCAATTGCGTGAATCGATGCTCATGATATCAATCACTTGATTGTCTGGTCCAGACTCGATTATTTACAGACCGCTATCATATAGCTGGAATATTACTGTGTGCGCGTTAAACAGCAAACAAACAAACACACAAAGAAATAAAACTGACGCCCATATGGATTCCAATGGTTGTCGTACTGGACGAAATGGAAGGTGTGCTCAAGGTCGTTGACTTGATTGATTGTGTGTCATCGTACCCCCACGGCGTGAATCGTTACTCACAACATCAATCACCGGATTATCCGGCCCAGTCTCGACCTTTTTACATGCCGCCGTCATATACCTGGAATTTTGTTGTGTGCGGCGTTTAACAACACACTTTAACCTGACGGAAAGAAATACCATTGATGCGGCTCTAAACACCACTTTGCCTGAGCCAGTGGAAGGGGCGGTCGGGTAGCCTAGTGTTTAAAGCATTCGCTCGTCACGCCGAAGACCCTGGTTCGAATCCCGACATGGGTACAATGTGTGAAGCCCATTTCTGGTGTTCCCGCCGTGATATTGCTGCAATATTGCTAAAAGCGGCGTAAAACCATACTCACTCACTCACTCACAATGTGGGATACTCCATGTCACCTTTCATGGCAGCATAGCCTAGTAGCACTCACTCACTCACTCACTCACTCACTCACTGCCAGTGGAAGAGGTTGTTCAACATTGTTCACCATGTATACCTCGATGCCGCCATTCAGTTGTTTCTTCTCTCCCCTCCCAGCAGAAGTTGACCGGAACCCCACCTCCCTCCCCGACACCGACGTCATGTGGGTGACCAAGTGGGTGGACTACAGCAACAAGTACGGCTTCGGCTTCCAGCTTTCCAACGACGCCATCGGAGTACTCTTCAACGACACCTCCCGCATCCTCTTGGCACCGGATGGCAGGTGCGTTGTCATGGAAACAGACACTTCTGAAAATAATATAGATTATTGGGGCGGTCGGGTAGCCCAGTGGTTAAAGCGTTCGCTCGTCACGCAGAAGACCCGGGTTCGATTCCGGACATGGGTACAATGTGTAAAACCCATTCTGGTGTCCCTCGCCGTGATATTGCTGGAATATTGCTAAAAGCGGCGTAAAACCATACTCACTCACTCACCCACTATAGATCATGATAAATCATGTCCTCATGAAACGTATCTACTATTCGTATTGAACACTGAATGACCTGCAACGTCCACGCGCAACACAGGAATATCTAGACCGATTGTGTTAAGATATACAGTTTTGGGCATTATTAATGCAAATGCTCTGGTCGTATATTTCCTGACAAAAAATGACGAAGAATTAAAAAAATAGATTCCCATTGACTCATCAACAAGACGGGTGGTAATAGTCTACGCCATCTGATAAGGATATCCGGATTATCAAACTGATTATTGATATATCTGGTATCCGTATCATGTTTTGTGTAGTATACTTGTAATTGAATTTGCATACTCAGAATTGATCTAGTTAATCAAACTTGAACTATTGTGAACATCCACTGACAATATTAGCTTTCAATTAAGTCTACAAGTTAAGCCTTTTTGTTTGTCCGCTTTGAGGGTACAAACAGCGCTGGGGAATGTCATATGACGTCACAATTTGTTGTCTCGAGGGGAAGAAATCTCGCGTGAAGTCTCCGCGCAGTGTCACTTCGTGCATCTACCCTGTGGCCGAGTTATGATCATTCCCGCATTAATGTAGTAGAACGTTTAGTCAGGCGCGCGATTATCCTTTGATCACCCGACCCACGCTCGTTTATTCTAGCATGGTGTCGCCTGTCCTTAATGACCCATGAAGAACGCTACCTGTTCAGGTGTTTCACAACATGTATTGATCGATGGATGGCCTCTTTTCTGTCAAAATGGAATTGTCTTTGTGTTGATATAAGCCGCGGTAAACATATCTCGCTGTTATGATGTCAATACTCTGCAGCAACTCTTCACTCCTGACTGCTCCTGTGTAAACTATACCAATAGAAACGTAACGCGCATCGGGAAATAACTATGATCTTTATATACTGCGATTCAACTGAAATTGTACTTTTATAGAAATTGTACATGCTGTAATAAGCGCCAAGAGCGCTCTTAAAGTTAGAAATAGGGGGCGCTTATTAGAATATTATTTGGTAAAAAAAAACAGAATTGAAAGATCGTAAATACAGGAAGTACCGGTAATCAGCAGGTAAAATTAGGCGCTTATTGGAGCGGGGCGCGTATTATGTTGAATACGGTAATGTAAATACACTGAAACTTGTGGGTTTAGCCTGTAAGGTGTAGTCCAATGCACTACCTCAATAAAGTCGATCGAACATGCCTCCATTTTCAAATCTATGAATTACCACGTGACGAAGATAATGCGCATGTGAAGGTTAACATGGATACGGTTCGGGTCCCCTCGTCACGAGGATATGGGTCGGGCCCCCTCGTCACGAGGATATGGGTCGGGCCCCCTCGTCACGAGGATATGGGTCGGGCCCCCTCGTCACGTGGATACAGTTCGATTCCACAATGAGCCCCCATGGAGCAATTCTTGTTTGTCTTTGGGTCTATGACGCAAGACAGAAGCATGGCCGCCTCCATGGAATGACATGAGAGAGTCAGAATCTCATATTAAGTGACTTCTTTTCCTTAAATAGAGGGGGGCACGGTGGCACGGTGGCCCAGTCGTCTCAGGCGCCGCAAATCGATGCACAGAGTTACGTCCCTTGGGCAAGCCAGAAACCTATGAAACCGGTTCGAAGCCGGTTCACCCCGATTATGTTTCTGGGTTTGTCAGCACCATACCCGTGCTCGTGGGTTTTACCGAAGTAGTAAACGTCTGAGACCTGCATCACTTCGGGCTTTCCTCCCACATTAAGCTGACACGCTCCCTGAAATAACTTGAATACTGTTAAAAGCTGCGTTAAACCAAACTTACTCACTCAGTCACTTAAAATAGAATGATCTATTTTTGAAATGTGAAAAATATGATGTGATATTTCTAAGAATGGATGATGGAAAGTTAACTTAGAGTGGAATAGCAGCGTCTGTAACGTCTCTTTCCTCTTCAGAGCTGTGCAGTATTTCGACCTGACGGGCAAGTTGTCGGCGTTCTCCACGGAGTGTATTCCAGAGGACCTTGAGCGGAAGACTACGCTACTGCAGTATTTCGCCCGCTACATGGACGAGCACCTAATTCAGGGCGGGGACATCGCCCACTTGAGGGCTATGCGCTCCTGGTCTGGGAGTCTCTACCTCAAGAAGTGGTTCCGCACCACCAAGGCCATCGTCCTGTACCTCAGCGACGGGACACTTCAGGTACACCACCCTGTAAACATGAAGATCATATGGCACCCGTTTAGTTTGTCTGGTTCATGTGTTGCCGTTTGGTTACGATGACAAACCCAGTTCTCTGAACCTGACGAACAAATCCTCAATTTAGGCCATCAAGCCGGATTTATTTTGGAAACCTGGTTATATGGGTAGGCAGCGCTTGCGCTCAGTGCAGCGCAAGCGCAAACTAGCCAGGAAATTAGGCTGGAATTCTGGGCATCTGTTCTGACCCCTAATTTCCACAGGGGACCTCATTGGGATATGTGCTAGCTGAACCTACTTATACCAGTGTTCGAAATACCTGCCTGCCCGACCGTCCGACGGGTCGATTTCAACTCGGGCTGCCAGATTTTCAAATCCCCCTGCCCGACGGTTTGGTTATATTTCATATGTGAAAATATTCAAAACATTTCCCGATGATAAGCATTAATTCACATGTAAAGATGAATGATAAAATGTAACCAAAAAGAAACCCCGTTAGCTTATCCTGAGAAACATATGATTATAGTGGGCAGGCAGGTTTTGGTCAGGGCTGGCAAGTATTTCAGCTAGCCAGTCCTGTGGTCTGGCTGAAATTTTTGGGAGTTTCATACCCTGCTTATACAAGAACCCATAAAGATCGGTTAGAATAGGTCTTCAGCAACCCATGCTTGAAGGCGACTGTGCTTGTCTTAAGAGGCGACTAACAGGATCAGGTGGTCAAATTCTCTGACTTGGTGATGCATGTCATCCTATCCCAATTGTGTGGATCGATGCTAATGATAACAATCACTGGTCCAGACTTGATTATTTACAGACTGCCGTCATATAACTGGAATATTGCTGAGTATGGCGTTAAACAACAAACAAAAACAGACAAAACTTATATAAGTATATAAATGGTTCAAAATATTCGTCCAAACGAATGAATGTGTACACAGTGCATCAGAAAAAAACAACCCACGTGATTTATTACGCATTCAATTTTTCTGTTCATACCCCCAATGTTTCCAATTGTTTTGAGATCTAAAAGTTGGCCTATATTGTCTTAACTATTTTCCTTCACATTCATTTCATGTGGTTTTGTGCCATTCAGAATCTTTAAAAAAAATTGTTGTTTTTTTCAGGTGAACTTTTTCGATGACCACACGAAGATAATCCTAAGTTATCACAACAACGATTATCTTGTGACCTTTATTGACCCGGAACGACTCGCTAAGACCTTTAGCATCGTCCATATCATCCAAGATGGCTGCCGCCCGGAAATCATTGAAAGAATGTTGTTTGCCAAAACTATGCTCAAGAATCTGGTAGATATAGAGGGCGCTGACATTTAGGGTGTTGCTAGGCCCCCGTCTCACTGCCGGACTACTTTCACTGAAGACATCACGCTGGATTGATACTGATCACTGTAGAGCCGGGAAACAGCTAAGTTCTCGTTACTGGTGATGTGATGACATATGACATAGGTGTGGTGATGTCTTCATATTCAAAAACTCCACAACGTGGTATAGTTAACCACGTTCAGAGCCGCCGGACTGCAGAACATTTTGCTGGTAATGTCGTCAACTGTCAACGACGAATGTCTCGCCAGGATACAAAGTTGTACCTATGTTGAAACCAAGTTGTACCTTAGTTGTACCTTAGTTGTACCTCGCTGAGTTGTGGAATATTGAGCAATCATCTACTAAAGACCAAGATGTTAAATTCGCATATGCTTCCATCATGGCGATGACCCAGTATCGTCCGAGACTTACTGCCAGCTTTCGAACTCTCCTGAGTTGCCTAAGTAACGGCATCCATATTGTTCGCCACCATAATGGCGGCCGGGTTGTTTCATTAAGAGACAACCATTAACTTTTCCTCTTCGGGCGCATGAAGACGAATTTCAACTATGCAAGACTAAGTGATACATTTCCGAGGACTTTCAGGCACCATAAGCAGTACGTGACACAGCCTGTGAGAGACGGACACGTCACACACGTGACAGCCTCGATCCAACCTAGTCTGCGGGTGTATTTGATCTCAGTACTAATATACGGTATTTATCAGCTCTGGACCACACCAGCAGATGCTGACCGCGACTGACCTTCACCTTGATCTCCAAGCGGCATAAGATGCCATTGTATATAAAGTGTACATGTAGAGGATTACAAATTGTACAACTACTACGACACGTCTTGATAATGACGTGTGGAGAATAATCAGCTGTTGATGACGTCCACTTCAGGGACATGGTCTCGGATTATCCCTCCAAGCTTTAGGAAGCGGATTTAGACGTTGCATGAGTTTTACGCGATAATCCTTATGGTATTGGTGGATAATCATTATCAAAGGATGAATGGTATATCGGAGAACAAGATCGTCATTCACTGGTTTGTCCATTGATTGCTTTGTGTGTATATATCACATGCCATTGGTTTTCATGCTTATGAATATGTGCTTGCTTCCCTTTTGTGACATTGGTTGACAGTAGAACAAGGAACAATCCCCAAAATATGCTTCAAAAACAACCAGGGTTGTTCCCAAAGACCGCAATAAGTCACAGTTTAAGGTGATTGTGCTTCAGTAATCCATACCGTGGTTCCTCCGAATCTATTAAGTCTGTCATAATCTAAGATGCCTAACCTAAAGGGAAACGCTATCTGAATCTATTTTGTCTATGCTAATCTGTGATGCAAACCCCGATTCCTGCATTACATCACACATCGGTCCATATTATCCTACATTTCAGCTGGATTCAAACCTATATGCCAAAATGATATGACCTTGATATGACCTTCATCCGTAACCGGAACCACGCATCCCTTGTGTCCTCATCCTTGGTCGCTGTAGACCGTCACTGTACTGTGTTAAGAGGGAGTGTTGCTAGACGTTTTAAAAGGGTATTGCCATTACTATTGGGACGGCAGTTTGTGGTTAATCATGTTGTACATTGTCCCTTGGCCTTGTAGTGTATGAAGCAGTTGATCCTTGGACGGCGTTTGTCCTGCATGAGCTGCTTGTGCTTCAGAATGACCCGCTGTGTCTGAAGCTCATTGAAAACATTGGAACCATAGGCTGACATCACTAGTCACGTGAAGAAGTATCCACAAATTGAGACAATTTGACATGATATATTTTTCAATATAAGGGACCACAATTGCATACAATTCCAGTATATATGTTAAATCCTGATTCATTTCTTTGATCATTTATTGACCCAAGGCTTTGTGTCGCTCAGTTTTTTGTTTTATTCACAGACTAAACATTCCGTCGAAAATATATTTTCATAAAGATGTTTAATGACTTGTTACGTCCATATTGTAAGTTGTCAGGGAAGTATTACATACGTCCATTGATTTACCTTACAAGCATTGTGTCCAACTGACCATTGGGGTCATCAGTCAACCCGACGTTGTGTGTTAAATCAGTAGTTTGCCTTCACACCGAAGTGCCTCATTCCTTTCGTGGTCAAGTTGTTCTGAGATGAGCGTCTTGTTAGCGACCCAGCCAATGGAGCTGTAGACCCAAAAACTGTGATAACATCGAGGTGCCCTAACGTATACCACTCAACATTTTCTAAGGACTAAAAGACGATTTTCTTTGACTAAAAGATGACTATTTTGATCCTTAGCAAATGTTGAGTAGTATGTACCTTTAAGTTACTTACGTAAGGAAGTAATTTTCCCATAACGATGAAGGATATCCTTCAATCGGGTATTGTTAACCTTCACGGTATGTTGACCTCTCAGTCAGGTCGTTAACTTCAATGGGGCATGCGCAGTACAGTATGTTAACTCTAAGATTCCATTTTCATTCTGCGAATTTATAATCGAGAAGAATAGATGTTAACCCTTGTTCAACAAGTCGATGTATTATTACTAAGTATTACACAGGTGACGTCCGACTACTTATAATCCTTGTAACATGTAAGGTCGTCATGGTGCGGATGTGCTGTGTATTTAATGGCGTTTCGTGGATAAAAGTTGTTGGGACCGTCTATTATTGTGAAAGCATTATACACAAGATGCGAACAGACCTATATATTAGAAATCAAAAGCAAATCAGTTTCTTTTGTAATTTGCCTTTTTGTTAACTATTTGTTGGAAACCATGCACCGTGTATTTTCAGTTCTTATCTAGACTGTCCAACTTATCTTCACCGCCTGTGCCTTGTTCCCATGGAAACAGTCACAGCTGTATACGACATCTATATCTTTATACAATATTTGTAAATACCACTGAATCATGCGAGCTTTCTCAATAAAACTTAAACCGTAATATGTGTTGTTGTCAGTCCTCAACCGTGAAGATCCGGGTTAGAATAGGTGAGTGAGTGAGTATGGTTTTACGCCGCTTTTAGCAATATTCCAGCAATATCACGGCGGGGGACACCAGAAATGGGCTTCACACATTGTACCCATGTCGGGAATCGAACCCGGGTCTTCGGCGTGACGAGCGAACGCTTTAACCACTAGGCTACCCGACCGCCCCTGGTTGGAATAGGTCTTCAGTAACCCATGAAAACCGTATAAGGCGACTATGCTTGTCCTAAGAGGCGACTAACGGGATCGGGTGGTCAGGCTCGCTGACTTGGTGATGTATGTCACCCTATCCCAATTGGCAGAGTTGCGTCCCTTGGGCACGCCAGAAACCTATGATTGTGGGTTCGAATCCCGGTTCGCCCCGATTATGTTTCTAGGTTTGTCAGCACCATACCCGTGCTCGTGGGTTTCACCGAAGTGGTAAACGTCTGAGACCTGCATCACTTCGGGCTTTCCTCCCACATTAAGCTGACACGCCGCGATATAACTGGAATAATGTTAAAAGCGGCGTTAAACCTAACTCACTCACTCACTCACTATCCCAATTGCTTGGACCGATGCTCATGATGTCAATCATTGGATTGTCTGGTCCAGACTCGATGATTATTTACAGACCGCCATCATATATCTGGAATAATGCTGATTGCAGCGTTAAATAAAAAAACAACAAACAAACAAACGTCAGTCCCGAAGAATCAAGCCGCTCGGAGGCCGGCGTATGTGACGTAACGCCTCTCGCCTGTAGACCGTCACAGCGTTAACGGTTTTACCAACAGCAGACCTACGAAATCTTGTCGCAGGACCCCGTTGGATTCTGGCTTTAAGTTGATCCCTAGCAACCTATGCTGGTTTAAAGAGGCGACCAAATGATGTGAGTGATGGTGACTTGGTTGATTGTGTCACGACGACGTGAATCGTTGCCCACAAAATCAATTACAGGATTGTCTGGTCTAGACTCGATTATTTACAGGCCGACGTCATATAGCTGGAATATTGTTGAGTGCGGCGTTAATCAACAAACAAAACTTATGTAAGTATATAAAGGCATGAACCAAGCTTTTCAGAGGAACACGACATAAGTCAAGCTGTAAATCAATTTTGAAAAACACAGGTAGTTTATAATTACGAATGTTGGGATCACGCTTATCACAAACATGATACTCTCATGTTTGATCTGTCTGTAAAGGGGGTTGTGGGGTAGCCTAGTGGTTAAAGCGATCGCTCGTCACGCTGAAGACCCGGGTTCGATTCCCGACATGGGTACAATGTGTGAAACCCATTTCTGGTGTCCCCCGCCGTGATATTGCTGGAATATTGCTAAAAGCGGCGTAAAACCGTACTCACTCACTCATTCACTCATGTTTGATCTGTCTGTAAAGGGGGCGGTGGGGTAGCCTAGTGGTTAAAGCGATCGCTCGTCACGCTGAAGACCCGGGTTCGATTCCCGACATGGGTACAATGTGTGAAGCCCATTTCTGGTGTCCCCCGCCGTGATATTGCTGGAATATTGCTAAAATCGGCGTAAAACCATACTCACTCACTCACTCACTCACTCACTGTCTGTAATGTTTTGTTTAATGTATGCAGTGAAATCAATCTCGGAAGGATATTTTTCTGAAGTTCCAGATAGGGGCTAATGTTTTCATGGAAGCGTCAGGATTAATCTGAAAATACAGCACATGCACATGTTGCGGGTTATATTTAAACCACAGCTTCTGCTTTTAGCAAGGTTACATAGCTAAGGTGAAACTGGTTCAGATTCATGTTTCATGCGCTGATAAGGGGCCATTCGGGCTGGAGGTATGTGCTGAAAGTGGAATAACGCACCCAGTTCCCGTGTACAGAGTGATGTCTCACGATTCCCGTTTCAGTGGACAACAACAAAACCGCCGGCCAGGGAACTACCAGTCCAAGTCCCTATTGTAACACTGCCGACCATGAACCTACCAGTCCTAGTCCCTATTGTAACACTGCCAGCCAGGGAACTACCGGTCCTAGTCCCTATTATAACACTGCCAGCCAGGGAACTACCAGTCCTAGTCCCTATTGTAACACTGCTAGCAATGAACCTACCAGTCCTAGTCCCTATTGTAACACTGCCGACCATGAACCTACCAGTCCTAGTCCCTATTGTAACACTGCCGGCCAGGGAACTACCAGTCCTAGTCCCTATTGTAACACTGCCGACCAGGGTACGACTAGTCCTAGTCCCTATTGTAACACTGCCGGCCTGGCTACGACAAGTCCTAGTCCCTATTGTAACACTGCCGGCCATGAACCTACCAGTCCTAGTCCCTATTGTGCCGGCCAGGGAACTACCAGTCCTAGTCCCTATTGTAACACTGCCGACCAGGGTACGACTAGTCTTAGTCCCTATTGTAACACTGCCGGCCTGGGTACGACTAGTCCTAGTCCCTACTGTAACACTGCCGGCCTGTGTACGACTAGTCGTGGTCCCTATTGTAACACTGCCGGCCTGGGTACGACTAGTCCTAGTACGACAAGTCCTGGTCCCTATTGTAACACTGCCGGCCTGTGTACGACTAGTCGTGGTCCCTATTGTAACACTGCCGGCCAGGGAACTACCAGTCCTAGTCCCTATTGTAACACTGCCAGCCAGGGAACTACCAGTCCTAGTCCCTATTGTAACACTGCCGACCATGAACCTACCAGTCCTAGTCCCTATTGTAACACTGCCAGCCAGGGAACTACCAGTCCTAGTCCCTATTGTAACACTGCCAGCCAGGGAACTACCAGTCCTAGTCCCTATTGTAACACTGCCGACCATGAACCTACAAGTCCTAGTCCCTATTGTAACATTGCCGGCCTGGGTACGACTAGTCCTGGTCCCTATTGTAACACTGCCGGCCTAGGTACGACTAGTCCTGGTCCCTATTGTAACACTGCCGGCCTGGGTACGACTAGTCCTGGTCCCTATTGTAACACTGTCGGCCTGGGTACACACAGTCCTGACCCCTCTTGTAACACTGCCGACCAGAGAAACACCAGTCCTGACCCCTATTGTAACACTTCCAGCCAGGGAACTACCAGTCCTAGTCCCTATTGTAACACTGCCAGCCAGGGAACTACCAGTCCTAGTCCCTATTGTAACACTGCCGACCATGAACCTACAAGTCCTAGTCCCTATTGTAACATTGCCGGCCTGGGTACGACTAGTCCTGGTCCCTATTGTAACACTGCCGGCCTGGGTACGACTAGTCCTGGTCCCTATTGTAACACTGCCGGCCTGGGTACGACTAGTCCTGGTCCCTATTGTAACACTGTCGGCCTGGGTACACACAGTCCTGACCCCTCTTGTAACACTGCCGACCAGAGAAACACCAGTCCTGACCCCTATTGTAACACTTCCAGCCAGGGAGTCCACAGTCCTGACCCCTATTTTAACACTGCCGGCCAGGGAGCCCACAGTCCTGACCCCTATTGTAACACTTCCAGCCAGGGAGCCCACAGTCCTGACCCCTATTGTAACACTTCCAGCCAGGGAGCCCACAGTCCTGACCCCTATTGTAACACTGCCGGCTAGGGAGCCCACAGTCCTGACCCCTATTGTAACACTGCCGGCCAGGGAGCCCACAGTCCTGACCCCTATTGTAACACTTCCAGCCAGGGAGCCCACAGTCCTGACCCCTATTGTAACACTGCCGGCCAGGGAGCCCACAGTCCTGGCTTCTGAACAAGGGGTATAATACATTTTTGCAGCCATACCACGGCAGGGTGACACCAAGTACGTGGTTTAAATATATCACCATATGATGATCGAACCCGGGTCTTCTACATGAAAGAACGCATTTACCTTTATACACCCATCACCTCAGTATCAGAATACACCGCATGGATACATACCACGATATCACACTGTCACATGTTTTAGCGTCAACAAGAACGATATATAAGGGGAGCAAATCATGATAGCCATGTAATAATTTCAACATCTAACATTGTATCCACAATGACCATGACTAGCATTCATTGCCAACCCATGGGGGCCCCCGTCCCTGCGTCAGTCCACAACTGTAACAGACCCGTGAAGATCCGGGGTAGAATAGGTCTTCAGCAACCCATGCTTGCCGTGAGACCCGTGAAGATCCGGGGTAGAATAGGTCTTCAGCAACCCATGCTTGCCGTGAGACCCGTGAAGATCCGGAGTAGAACAGGCCCTCAGCAACCCATGCTTGCCGTAAAAGGCGACTATGCTTGTCGTAAGAGGCGACTAACGGGATCGGGTGGTCAGGCTTGCTGACTTGGTTGATGCATGTCAGGTCCAGACTCGATTATTTACAGACCTCCGCCATATAGCTGGAATGTTGCTGAGTGCGGCGTAAAACAACAAACAAACAACTGTAACAACGAGTCCCCGACGTGAGGCCCTAGGTAGGTGTTTACTGCCCCCATCCTCGTGTGCGTCTATCCTCCTTGCCGTGCAACTACGTGGGTCGTTTGTTAAGGACAATTCCCAAGTCTACTTTTTTACATCAGCGTTCAGCCCGACAATGTTTTCCCTTGCTCTTTCGATATTTTATTTCGTGTGAACATTATTGCTTTGACTGTAAACAATGCAAAAACGAAAAGTCAATTTCTCTTTCAGTGCAAATTACCGTTTGTGTGTCAAATAAACGTTGCCATCGTACTTTTTGTAACAGTATCCGTTAGCGGTGGCCTCTATACACACGCTTAATTACATAGAAAGTTTCATTTTAATGAAACGCGAGCGCCTTCTCAATTCCACTGTTTCAAGCTGATAGACGCCTGTCTCTATGAAGCTACGTGAAAAATGTGTTTCTGATCTTAAAAAATGTGAACCCTTCACTTATAAATGCGTTAAGTTTAATGTGTGATACATCTGTCGGGGTTTCGATTTATATATAGGGTATATGCTGTTATATTTGTCGATCAGGGATTCGCTATATATGTCATACGCGCTAGTGTAGCAGTCTACCTAATTGTACAGTGTGTGATACGTGCTGTTGTGGCAGTCTACCTGAATGTACAGTGTGTGATACGTGCTGTTGTGGCAGTCTACCTGACTATACAGTGTGTGATACATGCTGTTGTGGCAGTCTACCTGATTGTACAGAGTGTGATACGTGCTGTTGTGGCAGTCTACCTGACTATACAGTGTGTGATACGTGCTGTTGTGGCAGTCTACCTGACTGTACAGTGTGTGATACATGCTGTTGTGGCAGTCTACCTGACTATACAGTGTGTGATACGTGCTGTTGTGGCAGTCTACCTGATTGTACAGTATGTGATACGTGCTGTTGTGGCAGTCTACCTGACTGTACAGTGTGTGATACATGCTGTTGCAGCAGTCTACCTGATTGTTCAGTATGTGATACATGCTGTTGTGGCAGTCTACCTGATTGTACAGTATGTGATACATGCTGTTGTGGCAGTCTACCTGACTGTACAGTATGTGATACAAGCTGTTGTGGCAGTCTACCTGACTTTACAGTGTGTGATACATGCTGTTGTGGCAGTCTACCTGACTGTACAGTGTGTGATACATGCTGTTGTGGCAGTCTACCTGACTGTACAGTATGTGATACACACTGGTGTGACAGTCTACCTGACTGTACAGTGTGTGATACATGCTGTCGTGGCAGTCTACCTGACTGTACAGTATCTGATACATTCTGTTGTAGCAGTCTACCTGATTGTACAGTATGTGATACATGCTGTTGTGGCAGTCTACCTGACTGTACAGTATGTGATACATGCTGTTGTGGCAGTCTACCTGACTGTACAGTATGTGATACATGTTGTTGTGGCAGTCTACCTGATTGTACAGTATGTGATACACATTGTTGTGGCAGTCTACCTGATTGTACAGTATGTGATACGTGCTGTTGTGGCAGTCTACCTGATTGTACAGTGTGTGATACAAGCTGTTGTGGCAGTCTACCTGATTGTACAGTATGTGATACACGCTGTTGTGGCAGTCTACCTGATTGTACAGTATCTGATACACGCTTTTGTGGCAGTCTACCTGATTGTACAGTATGTGATACATGCTGTTGTGACAGTCTACCTGATTGTACAGTATGTGATACACGCTGTTGTGGCAGTCTACCTGATTGTACAGTATGTGATACATGCTGTTGTGGCAGTCTACCTGATTGTACAGTGTGTGATACACGCTTTTGTGGCAGTCTACCTGATTGTACAGTTTGTGATACACGCTGTTGTGGCAGTCTACCTGACTGTACAGTATGTGATACATGCTGTTGTGGCAGTCTACCTGATTGTACAGTATGTGATACACGCTGTTGTAGCAGTCTACCTGATTGTACAGTATGTGATACATGCTGTTGTGGCAGTCTACCTGATTGTACAGTATGTGATACACACTGTTGTGGCAGTCTTCCTGAGTGTACAGTATGTGATACATGATGTTGTGGCAGTCTACCTGACTGTACAGTATGTGATATACGCTGTTGTGGCAGTCTACCTGATTGTACAGTATGTGATACACGCTGTTGTGGCAGTCTACCTGATTGTACAGTATGTGATACACGCTGTTGTGGCAGTCTACCTGATTGTACAGTGTGTGATACACGCTGTTGTGGCATTCTACCTGACTGTACAGTATGTGATACACGCTGTTCTGGCAGTCTACCTAATTGTACAGTATGTGATACACGCTTTTGTGGCAGTCTACCTGAACTGCACCACCACGAACAACGAGCTACAAAACCACTGACAGTTCGTTTTGTTTATTTCTTAGTTTTTACTGACCAAAACTGTTGGGTTTGCAGATTGTGTTCGGGTGTGTAGCCATGGTTACGGCAAACACAAAAATTCAAGAAGCAGAGTAACGCAAATGTTACATGTTTAAACAACAAGGTTTATCTGTTTTGTCACTCAAACTGGCGGTGTACATTGCCTCCCTCCTGCCTCAGGCGTTACATATTGACGACGGAAACAAAGCAGAAACAACATAAGGGCCCATTCTTGACTTTCTCAGCAAAATTATGCTTACAAAGTGAAAAAGGCGGAAAAATCTTTGCTAAAGCAAATTTTCAAAATCACATAATCAGTAGATTAAGTAACCATACGCCCATGTTGTGACAGGGATTAGCTAAGGCTGCTACACAATTGTTCGGTGCGTCAAGGGTGTTGATAGTCATGTGTGGTTTCATGTGTGGGGGTCTCGGCTCAGTACATATTGTACACACGCACGCACGCACGCACGTACGCACCCACGCACGCACCACACCCCATATCCTCACACACTCAACGCACCACCCCACCCCCACCAATCTATGTACACGGAAACCTCGTTAATCTGGACGACACTGCATCAGTACATCATGTATTTATCCCCCTAAGGCAATCTCTATACACTGAAACCTCGTTAGTTTGGACAACACTGCATCAGTACATCATGTATTTATCCCCCTAAGGCAATCTCTATACACTGAAACCTCGTTAGTTTGGACAACACTGCCTCAGTATATCATGTATTTATCCCCATAAGGCAATCTCTATACACTGAAACCTCGTTAATCTGGACAACACTGCCTCAGTACATCATGTATTTATCCCCATCAGTCAATATCTCTACACTGAAACCTCGTTAATCTGGACGATAGTGTCTCAGTACACCATGTATACTTGAATATAAACATATTTTATTAACAATCAATAGGGTTGTATTGTAAACCACTTCTTGGAGCTTACTTGATCCTCTCCATGTGAATGATTAATATATCAACAGAATGCTACAGAATGATTAATATATCAACAGAATGCTACAGAATGATTGATATATCAACAGAATGCTACAGAATGATTGATATATCAACAGAATGCTACAGACTGATTAATATATCAACAGAATGCTACAGAATGATTAATATATCAACAGAATGCTACAGACTGATTAATATATCAACAGAATGCTACAGAATGATTAATATATCAACAGAATGCTACAGAATGATTGATATATCAACAGAATGCTACAGAATGATTGATATATCAACAGAATGCTACAGACTGATTAATATATCAACAGAATGCTACAGAATGATTAATATATCAACAGAATGCTACAGACTGATTAATATATCAACAGAATGCTACAGAATGATTAATATATCAACAGAATGCTACAGAATGGTTAATATATCAACATAATGCTACAGACTGATTATATATCAACAGAATGCTACAGACTGATTATATATCAACAGAATGCTACAGAATGATTAATATATCAACATAATGCTACAGACTGATTATATATCAACAGAATGCTACAGAATGATTAATATATCAACAGAATGCTACAGACTGATTATTTATTAATTGAATGCTACAGAATGATTATATATCAACAGAATGCTACAGATTGATTAATATATCAACATAATGCTACAGACTGATTATATATCAACAGAATGCTACAGACTGATTATATATCAACATAATGCTACAGACTGATTATATATCAACATAATGCTACAGAATGATTATATATCAACATAATGCTACAGAATGATTTATATATCAACATAATGCTACAGAATGATTATATATCAACAGAATGCTACAGAATGATTAATATATCAACAGAATGCTACAGAATGATTATATATCAACAGAATGCTACAGAATGATTAATATATCAACATAATGCTACAGAATGATTATATATCAACAGAATGCTACAGAATGATTAATATATCAACAGAATGCTACAGAATGATTATATATCAACGTTTTGCAACAAACACAGTAGGGTACAAACACAGTATATTAGCAATTGGTGAGTCCACTGCTATTAGGTGAACTAGAACATTTGGTCATATGATTCCCCCCATGACTTATATGTGCCTCTAGTGGCGTTGACATTCCACGTTATCCATAATCCAATCAAAGGCAGCCCTGGCCATGAGCTCGTGCATTCTCGGTGAAACTCCCATACCATAAAGTCTCAAGTAACTCCGTTCACAAGCTTTCCCAAACATACTTCGTATGTAGTGACGTTAATCATATACCGGATAAGTTCCCTTTGTTATACAGGAGGTCAGAGTACGAGAGGACCTCATAAACATCCTTCGTAAATGCCACAATAAAATATCCAATACTTTCGGAGAATAATTTCAAAACTAAACCTCATTGTAGTGGCGGCCATTTTAGATCGGATCCATATATTCAAAATGAAACTTTGACGTTGTTATAAGGATGCGTACAAAACATGATATATGCCCTTGTGATATTGAACAATTAATAATATTATTCAGAAAAGTTTTTACTTGACAGTTAAGGTATCTATCACATAGGCAAACATTGACTGCATGGCCAGGTGAGCTAAAAATATAACCGTTACAATCGTCCTCGTTTTACAATTACGTCATAGCTGCGTCTGAACCTACACGTGTTGTTTGAATAGTTTAACTATACACAGACAACTTCATGCAAGACTATATCCTGACACCAAATATAATGAGAATCAAGTATAATTTGTTTACACAATAGAAATTTCGAAACTGAAACTAACGAAAAGGAAAGAAAAGCCAGGAAAACGAAAGTGTCGGCGGTGACTTTACACTAGGGCCTTGTGCCGCCCGCCATGATGAACGTTTTTAACGTTATCAGCACCGCACCACTGTGCGCGTAATGTACCAGGCAACCTGAAGTCGGGAATAAATGCATTATTTTCACGAAAACATGATTTTTTGGTATTTCTGTGATATTAATAATTAACATTTGAGGAAAGCCTGCGTGTGAGCACAACTATATACACCCCTGCTACAATGAACAGACGCGGAGGTACGTGTCAACACACATAGAGAGAGAAACTGACTGATGTAGACTTGCACAGGTCTCTGAGGCAATAATTATTAGTTTCAATCATAGGTTCTAGATTATTAAATAATGAGAACAAGATGTCCCTATATAAGAGACTGGAGTCCTTACTGTCCACATATCTAGACTTGCCTATTAGGGGGATAGAATTACTACACATCAATGGACTTTGCTTTCAGTACAGCCAAGAGTAAGACTGAAGCAAGACTATAGCTGCTGCGGACTTGTTTTAACAGTGGACGCCATTGCGAGGGTGTTTGTGTTCAGGTCAAGTTGTTACTGGAAAAATATACTGAAGAACAATAGGATGACGCAACAACAATTAATGTTTATTATAACAAACTTGTAGCAACAGAGACAATACAAACTATAAATGTATAAACATTAAATCGTGTGCCTTTTTGTTATTGTTTTATTGTCAAGAGTTCTGGCAAGTTTATATTGCATCAATTTGTCAATGAGTGAGTGAGTGAGTGAGTGAGTGAGTGAGTGGGTGGGTGGGTGAGTGAGTGAGTGAGTGAGTGAGTGAGTGAGTGAGTGAGTGAGTGAGTGAGTGAGTGAGTGAGTGGGTGGGTGGGTGAGTGAGTGAGTGAGTGAGTGAGTGAGTGAGTGAGTGAGTGAGTTAGAAGGCGAGTTATTGCGTGCGTGAGTGAGCATGGTGAGTGCGTACGCGGGTGAGTGGGTGAGTGGGTGAGTGGGTGAGTAAGGTTGCACGTCCAGTTACCACTATTCTAACTATATCAAGAAGGGGGATGAGGGGGACTCCGAGAATGGCCTTCACACATTGTACCCTGGATAGTACCAGTGCTCTCGACGTGACGCCGCCGCTTTGACTTCCAGGCTTCCACGCCGCCCCACCCAGTAGGACTTGAGATGAGTAAGAACCTGGACATATGCATGCGTCCCTGCTGATGAAAGAAATCTGATAGTGAGTTGGGAGTGGCGGGATGAGAGAGATTTTATGTCGCTTCTGACAGTGAAGCAAAATCACAGCGAGAGAATGGACCACCATTTTTCAAACACCGTGCCTTCTGTGCGAGAAGCGAGGAATCGTAAACAGTTTTGATTGTCTCACTTTTTGTCTCCACAAATAATAGGTGAGGTGAGGTGAAATTGGGTTTAACGTCGCGTCCAAGATTATTGCAATTATACAGCGACGTGCATGCATGTGTGTGTGTGTGTGTGTGTGTGTGTGTGTGTGTGTGTGTGTGGCTGCTTGTACTAGTCCGGACTGATGCCGATTTAAAGTGCTAGCTCACTGAAATACCATGCCGCAGTTTAACATGAATACCCCACTCAGACACAGTAAACTGACTCCAAGCCGACCAGTCCTTGTTTAGCCCCTTAATGCCGAGCGCCAGTCAGGGTAACAACAAGTACCATCTTTTAACGTCTGTTGGTATGACGTGGCCGGGGATCGAACCCCGGACCTTCCGCTCTACCACAAGACCACAGAGGGTCAGACTGGCAGGAACAGTGTCCGGGGGCTAGTATCTAGGTATAACACGTACAGCAGTCAAGTCAAGGGTGGACTATAGCATACACGAAGGTAGCATATGTCTTTGGTGCTGATAAGTTTGGCTGACTGTGGGACTTATGATTTATTTAATGTAATACACGTTTTGTCAGTTTTTTCAAAGTGTGTTTTCATCTTTTCGATTAACGTGACATGTATTGTTTACACAGAGACTATGTATGAAAAATACCAAGTACATTTTAAAAGGCGCCAAGAATTTCACCTTTTTCTCTGACATTTCGCAACAATAATGAGAAGGGAACATGTCTCCTAACAACCACGCTAGACAACATTCCTGAGTATATTTTACATACGCTTCAGTGACTATTGAAGAGGGTTGAGCGAGTTTTGTTGCCGTGTTGATGGAATTACAGCCATTAGCGTCGTTTATGAATTTATTTCGAAAGAGGTCCTTTGAATCGGCGTTTATTCGACGCAAGCGTTGTTTTGTATATATATTTTGTTTTCTCTCTCTCTCTCTCTCTCTCTCTCTATATATATATATATATATATATATAATGTTTCCAGTATTGCTCCTCGTCGTTACGTCAGATGAACCAGCAGATACTCAGATATAAAAGATGTGTTCAGTTCCGGGGCATAACGTGTAACACCCCAGTTAAGTGCTTCGTGCTTTTCAAGAATGTTTAAAGTTCGTATTTTTGGCGTTTCCAGGGGGGCAAGTACAGTGGGACTCTTGTGAACGCGAAGGTTGGGTTTGTGTTTGAAGAGCTCTGCTACACATCAGGTGCTGAACTTGCAACTTTTGTTGTGTATTTTGTGTTTCAAGAGTGAAGCTCTCAAAACTTCCAGTATTGGTTCAAGGGGATTTGCTCAAATATCAATTTTTGTGCCTTTTGCGCATACAAGAAATTATCGTGGTGAATTTTACAATTTGGGTATTTTTAACCACTGCAATTCCCCTTCGTTGTTCACACATTTACACGGCCTCTTGTATAAAGGGCAGGTGTTTAACCAAACATTTTTGACATCATATTTAAATACCAGTTATACATTTCTATCACTGCGTGGGACTCAGTGAAGTAGAGACCAGGTGAAAGATAATACATTGAAGACATTACACAAGAACACAAGAACTGTCTCCCAAAACTGCACACCTCCAGAAGATCGGGGAGAAACAGGTCTTCAGCAACCCATGCTTGCCGTGAAAGGGGACTTGTAAGTGGCGACTAACGGCATTGGTGGTGAGGCTCGCTGACTTGGTTGATGCATGTCATTGTATCCCAATTGTGTGGATCGATGCACATGATATCAATCACTGGATTGTCTGGTCCAGACTTGATTATCTACAGACCACCTTCATATAGCTGGAATATTGCTGAGTGCAGCGTTTAACAACAAACAAACCTGTGTGAATATATCACACTCATGTAATACCCATCTTCTAGATGCTGTCTAGATGGTTGTCTAGGGGCCTGGTTGTCTAGGGCCTGGTTGTCTAGGGGCCTGGTTGTCTAGGGCCTGGTTGTCTAGGGGCCTGGTTGTCTAGGGCTTGGTTGTCTAGGGCCTGGTTGTCTAGGGCCTGGTTGTCTAGGGGCCTGGTTGTCTAGGGGCCTGGTTGTCTAGGGGCCTGGTTGTCTAGGGCTTGGTTGTCTAGGGCCTGGTTGTCTAGGGCTTGGTTGTCTAGGGCCTGGTTGTCTAGGGCCTGGTTGTCTAGAGCCTGTCAAGATGCACCCTGATCATGACTCTTAGTCTGTCAGCACCACTGTTTGTTGTTTAAGGACCCACTCAGCACAATCCAGTGATTGACATCATGAGCATCGATCCACGCAATTGGGATCGATGACATGCATCAACCAAGTCAGCGAACCTGACCACCCGATCCCGTTAGTCGCCTGTTACGACAAGCATAGTCACCTTTTACGGGCATGGGTTGCAGAAGACCTATTCCACCCCGGAATCTTCACGGGTATGTTGGGATACAATGACATGCATCAACCAAGTCAGCGAGCCTGACAACCCGATCCCATTAGTCACCTTCTACAGCAAGCATGGGTTGCTGAAGACCTATTCTCTACCCGGATCTTCAGGGAAGTCAGCACCATACTGGTGCTCATGGCTCTCACCAAAGTGGCAAACGTGTAAGACCTCCCAGGCAGACCTCCCACATTAAGCTGACACGGGGTGATATAACTGAAATACTGTTTAAAGCAGCCTTAAACCAAACTCACTCACTCACTCTAAGAGTCTGCAGACCTTCACTGAAGGCAGCGATGTCGGCAAGCACAATAACCACACATACAGCATTGTCATTTCAGTGTCAAGGTCCTCATTTTCACATACAACAAACACCATGAATAAACTTTAATAGTAACTTTATAAATAAAATTAGTGACTTTATTTCAACACAATTTCCAAATTACAGATCTTCTCTCACATATCATCCATATCATCAAGCCTGACTATTCCTCTAGAAGCGAACACTGCTGTGATTCAAGTGGGAGCACCTCTAGTGACAACAATAACACCATAAGCACGTGCAACATCCAAGCAAGAACAGAAAATGTAAACATTACTTGTACATCACTACAAAATATAGATGGAAAATTATTTATTAAATATTTGGAATAAAACTGTATATTCAAACAATGCTGACTAAATCTAAAAGTAAGGTATCTAGACTACTGTGAAAGCACACTGACTACAAATAGCAGCACTAAAGGTGTAAACGCCACGGAGGCACAGGCAACACTAAATGGTTGAACTGGACATGATCAAAGTGTCACAGGCAATTTCAAGCCATTCGTTGACTACAGTTGGACGGACAAATGGACAGACAGACACTTGAAGTTCCTCGGCTATGAAATAGACAACAAAAAAAGCCACAAGGGAGACACAAGTTTTGAACCAACCCAGAAGCAGGTCAGTGACCAGGGAAGTTGAATAGAAGCCAGTCATCAAACCTTCATTGTAGTCAGGTTCAATCTTATCTTTAACATATAGATTTGGAACAATGGATTTTTTTCCCCTCAATATTAGGTATTGTATGTTACATAATAAATCAAATTTTGTCCGCAGAGTTAATATGGTTACCATGGTTACTACACACAGAGTGTCCTCCGCCACACATGTCCACCCTAGGAGCTCACTAAATCTCAACTGTCTAGTCAGGTTTTGGTGCGGTGGGGTAGCGCAATGGTTAAAGTGTTCACTCGTCACACCGAAGATCCAGTTCAATTCCCACCTGGGTATAATGTGTGAATCCCACCCTCGTGTCCCCTGCCATGATATTGCTGGAATATTGCTAAAGGCGGCGCAAAACCATACTCACTCACTGTAGTCATTTTGCTATGGGGGGTGAACATGGCTTTACGCCAAGTCAGCATTTTTGCAGCTATTCACAGCGAATTCACGTGAGAAAGTATTGAAAGATGTCACACAGTTAGTGTAAATACTATCTTTAACTGTATCAGGAATAACTTCTGGGATACCAAGAGAAAAAGGCTGTTTTTTCAGTGTCACAGTGTAATTGTATCTCCACATCACGGACAAAACATTTGAATGACTTGTCAACCATATAGCAAGGAAATTAAGCAGTAAAACACTGTAGATCAGAGGCTAGCCTCATAGATGACAGAAAGTATCCACGACATCGACACTGTAGTCCTGGGCCCTGTTCCACAAAGACATCTTAGTGCTAAGGTGATCGTAACTCCCATACTTTAACACTGGGTCATGATAGTCGTAGCACTAAGATCGCTTTGTGGAACGGTGCCCTGAATTATATATCATTACATTACTGGCATTATGCAATAATGTAGGAGTACTGAGCCTAGTGATTGGTCCAGAATTCATGAACCTACAGAGCCACATATCATAATGGCTGACATGACAATAGGCATCAAGACAAACACAAGTGAGTTGTGTCGACACATTCCTTATTTCCTCGAGGGATTTGTCTGAGATTACTGTCAGATCAGCCATCACTTCATTAACAGCACTCCTTACATCTGACATATCACTTATTAATATCATATATATATTTAAAACACCATCTCCAGAGCTCCAGATAAATTTTTGAGCAATTGAGTTTTTACCCTAGGGTTTCTATTTTAATTGGGCTATTACATTTTTCATTACCAATATTTCACTCATCTATTCATCACTCCATTGTTTTGTTTTTTTCCAAAATTAGGGAACATTTTAAGATTTTTAAAAAATGAAATCATGTTTTAGATGTATACTAAACATGTTCTAAACATCTAGGCTTAACCCAGAAAGTAAATTAGCTCATAATTTTGTTTTGGAAATTAGCTCCTTTGTACGCATGCTGAAAAAGCTTCATTGGGTATTTACACATGCTGTTTTTATTCATTTGAATTTTTCATTTAATGCATGCGTTTCTGTACACAAGTTAATTAAAAGTAATTGGGTTTTTCAATATTTGAGGGGGTATTTTACGCAAATACGCTTATTTGCAGCTCTGCATGTCACTTTTCAATCACAAGTTTACAGATTTGGCACTTTCAGACCCTGGTAACAAAGTCTAGCAAATGTTTCACACCCAGACAAATACACTCTTGAGCTGTAAGTAGTGCAGGAAATACTGTATCTTAATAATAAAGGTTTCTTTTTTCACTTTTCTAATCACTCTGTACTGACTGACAATGCTATTTTGACACATGACTCATATGATTATTTAAACTTGATCAGTACTAGATAGTTTCTGTGTGGTAACTAACACAGACAATGAAACCATACATATTGATATTCATAAGCAGTGCACTGGGAATCAACCAGTCCCAAGCCGAACTCTACTAGACCTTTTTGCCCAAAATACACTTTACAGTCTAGCCCTCAATCTACACTGGACTTAAGACTACGCATCATTATAAAACAAAGGATGGCAGCCATATATCAGGCAAAAAGAAAATGTGTGTTTCCAGTTTTTCATCCAACCCTAATTGGATCCCGGTTTTGATGCATCACGGTTTTGTTCGTATGGTTAACATCAGTTCCACAACTGACAAGCCAGTCACGATCTCCATGTGCAATCAGGCTTCTAATGACGGACTGCAAGTTACAGTTTTTGAAAGAAAACCAAACTTTAAACAACCCAAATAAAAGGACTTAGATTAGTTTTCTACTTTTGGATGAACTGATATAGGAACCACACCTATTTTATTTTATGATTGGGGGAGGGAGGTGGCTGCAGGTTTGGCTTACAACCCTCATCAATGGAATGTAGTGATACTAATTTGTTTCATTCAAAACATTGAAAATATACAAAACATGAGAATATAGACTCAGTCAATCATATAACAACGCACCACTTGACATGGTGTCATAGAAGGATCACATTAGGTTCTGTAAGATTGCAAGTGGCCCATTTGTTCGCACAATAAAATCAGTCAACTACGATGTTCAACATGTCAGTCAACTACGGTGTTCAACATCATAATGTCAGTCAACTGTGATGTTCAACATAATAATGTCAGTCATCTACGATGTTCAACATAATAATGTCAGTCAACTACGATGTTCAACATGTCAGTCAACTACGGTGTTCAACATCTTAATGTCAGTCAACTGTGATGTTCAACATAATAATGTCAGTCATCTACAATGTTCAACATAATAATGTCAGTCATCTACGGTGTTCAACATAATAATGTCAGCCATCTACGATGTTCAACATAATAATGTCAGTCATCTACGATGTTCAACATAATAATGTCAGTCATCTTCGTTGTTCAACATAATAATGTCAGTCATCTACGATGTTCAACATGTCAATCAACTACGATGTTGCATTACTGTTTGTTGTTTAATGTTTGCTGTTGGCATTAGAACAACTAGCTTTAAATTTAACAGATATTTCCACAATAAGATTCTGAATTCTCATGGTATGTATTATACATCCACTTTAGTGTTCTTAGCACAGTTTAACCTCACATCAACCATGACAACGTTGGTACTGCTGTATTCTGCACCTTTGCATATTGGCAAGAGCAACAATTTGTCTGATCAAAGCTTCCAAATTCTTACCCGCTTACGAAATTTTTAGAAAATGCAATTAGTCAGAGGACCTCTTGTTTCTAGGTCTTTTAAGCTTTTCCAGAGTCAATCTCCAAACCTGTCATGGAATTCAATTGGAGCATTTCAGACCTGTTTATATATATATATATATATTAATTTCAGTTTGAAAATATAATAACAGTAATCTTGACTCAGGGAAAAAATATGTCTTTTAAAATCTGACATAAAGTAACGTCGTTCGATGTACTTACTGCAGAGCCCATATGTTGATTTGTGGCATAAAACTTTATGATTGGAACTGCAACTGCTTCAGGAATTTTATAACGCTGGTAGAGCTCCGAACTTTCGTGCTTAACATGGTCGTGCTTGATACACTCCATTCAGAAACATAAACTCAGAGAAAGTGATGACCTTTACACGATACATCCCATCTCATGATACACAGTGAGTACAACATGTCTCCTCTACGACTTTCACCGTCATTGGTTTCTCATCCCCGGTTCACGTTAGCTGAGACAGACGAAACTTTATTTATTTGATATTACCAGTTTAGATTTTTCATTGGAATAAGTCTTACCGTAAACCGGATAAACACCTAATAATATTATGTCTTTAATAAAAAAATATCATACGTCAACATGGTCAAATACTTGTGAGAAGAATATCCCCTTCACAGCATCAGCATCTAAAATACTTCATATAAGTTACTCTCAACGGCGGCAATAAATATATTGCTTGGATGTAAAATCTGTCTCACAATACTCGGTGATATAATTTTCAAAATACTTTTGTATACATGTATACACAAATGTCTCCAGTTATGGCAGACATTTTTTGTATTGTGACAATTTAATGAGTATCAAACAAAGCACTTTCTACCAGGATATCAAATATGTACAATGTACTATTCGAATCAGTTCACACAGCTGATCAAAACAAACAACCCTGTAGCATGTTGAGACGGACAGATTGTACAATATAACCTTATCTACAATAACTCTGCCACTGAATACATTGTAGCTCAGCTACTGAATAGATTGTAGCTCAAACTCACAACTGATTTCATGTCAAGAAATCAATTACGCGCAGTACACATTCCAAGGGAGATAACTCTGTATGCCTTGGCTGTACTGGTACATGAGTTCAATATGGTAATAAGACCGTGAAGAATTTGCAAATCTTAAGAAATAAACATTTATGTCACTGCCTCAGGTGTATTCATATTGGATTTGCAATACATTGTAAAGAAAGAGGTTATATAAACCTGATACCTAGATTAGGCTAGATACATCACAAACTAACAATGGATGTCTATCCATTGAACAAGTCTGGCTGTCCTTTTCACTAACGCTCCACTTGGCAGGACATCTTGATTAAACAATGACATTATAAAATGTATTATGCAGAATATGGTTTCGAATTATACAGAAGTCCATTATTCAAAAAATGATTATAGAAAAATATTATACTCTAAAAGCATTGACTACTATGTACCAAGAGACAACGACATAGCAAACGATTTATTCCCACATGAACAAGATCGTGACAAACATTATTTGAGTATCACCTGAGGGCCAACATGGAACCTAGGCTTATTTGTTTACTACATCTTAAACTAAGATTTTCATATTCCTCAACAAAGGGAAGCCCTAATCAGTGTACCTGAGGGCCAACATGGAACCTAGGCTTATTTGTTTACTACATCTTAAACTAAGATTTTCATATTCCGCAACAAAGGGAAGCCCTAATCAGTGTACGAGCTGCTACGCCTTGTCTGGCCTCAATGTTAGCATCTTCCCGAGGCAAGGGAGTTAACTGACTATAAAAGTCCAGTTTCCATCCTTCCTGAACTAGGCCGGAATTTCCAGGCTTGATCGTAGCCACCGGTGGCTATTTTGAGTTATGTCCCTTCTATGTCCCTCCTACTGACCAATCAGAATCCACCTCTCAAATCACATTTGCTTTAACAAAATGGCGGCACCCAGTCAAGACGATCTGATCAATAATTAAGATCTATGTTGAAATAAAACGGGGAGTGATTACCTTGATTAAAAACAAGAAAAGATTTGAAAAATATCAGTCGACGCCTAGCAGACGAAATCCACATTGAAATCCATTTGGTTTACAAACCGAATGTCTACTTTGTTACGCAAATTTAATTGGACTATGCATAGATTCTTTAGTCCAGCCAAAACATAACTCCGGAATTCCAGCCAAGTTTGGCAAGGGTGGAAACTGGACTATTATCGTCAGTTAACTCCCTTGCCTCAGGAAGATGCTTTGTTAGCACTATGTTAGCATTATGTTAGCACTAACTCATTTGGCTTCACGAAGGACTGGTGACATTTCCTTGTGCAGAACCACACTAAAGCTTAAGACGAATACTGTTTTTCCTACATCATACTTGAAGATTTTTCTAACAAGCTTTTCTACAAGTAGGCAGACATGTTACATACTTCATGGCACCACCTTAGGCCATCAATGAGTGTGTTCAGGCTGGTAGTAGTGTAGTGGGTAGATGAGCGTCACGTCAGCGTGAGTGTTGTGTTCGGCCAGCGAGATGCGACGATACTTGATGACAAGTTCCTTGAGGGTTCCAAACAGACAGAGATCTTCAGTGAAGCCAAAGCCACGCCCCTTTACGTATAATATGATACAATGTTGGACGTGGTCTCGACACCTGAACAGCAAAAGAATTCAAAAATGTATTTGAAACATGTTACATTGATACTGACACAATAACTAATCATAAGGACTCTCCAATGACTTAATGAATTATCACAATTTGATATTGAAACTTTGTGACATAAATATATTTACCTTGTTAATACTATTGGCTCCCACAGGAGATATCACTTGGGTGAGATCAAGCGATATCTACAGTGAAATTGCATCACAATGCTTTGCAGACCATTGTGACATCACTGGTTACCATGACGTCACAATCAAATGACATCACTAATGGCCCTGCTACTGAAGCTGTTAGCAGTACTTTTTCACTCAAGACACTGCTAATTACTGTCTACAAATTGAAAAAGTTGAAATGAATGATGTTGGATGATAAATAAAATCTCACCCTCGTGTCTTTTGACATCAAATATATCAACACTCGTTGATATATTTGATATCAAAAGACACTCGGGTGAGATTCTCTATTTATCATCCAAAACTGGTTCCCACAGGAGATATAAATTGTGTGAGACCAAGCGATATCTACAGTGAAATTGCATCACAATGCTTTGCACACCATTGTGACGTCATTGGTTACCATGATGTCACCATCATATGACATCACTAATGGTTCTGCTACCGAAGATGTTAGCAGTACCTTTTACAATTAGACACTGTTTATTACTGTCTACAAACTGAAAAAGTTGGAAGAATGATGTTGGATGATAAATCAATTTCTCTATATCTATACTGCATAATATCTATTATATATATGCCCATTAATCTGACATGGCTTAACAGAAACTATGGTTACGGGCTGTATGACTAATTCAAAATACTTTAAAAAGTATAGCCTGGAATGGTAGTCGTCAGTTTGAAACTAGTGCGGCAAAGCTCAAGAAGGTTGCTTTCTTAGTGGCTAATCTCAACTTCCTGTTAGTCAGTTCATTGGTCAGTCAAAGTTCGCAAAAGGTTGTTCTGCAATGACTTGTAATAGGATGTCCTCAGCGGTAGTCAGAACTTGTATCTGATTTTAATGAGACTGAAGTAATCTAAGCATGTAATGTATCCTGTTTTGTTTATTTAAAGCATTAATTGTTTAGTGTTAAGCAAGTTTATCTCTGCAGCCGTTATAATATGCAGCTACTAGCCGACTCGTCTCTTATCAACACACAGGTCTGTGTTTCTTGCGGGCAGATGACCACGGAGTATGCTGATCACTGTGTTGGATTAACAAGACTTATTAATTTGGTAATTTCAAAAATTGGTTGGAAATTAACTGTGTCGGAGTCAGAGTGCAAGACTATCGGATTCACGGGTCTAAATAGCACTGATTAAATTAGTTCCCATGATTAGTGTCGGATAAAGCCGATTTTCGGATTAAGGCTTGTCGGATTAACGAGACTTGACTGTATATGATGTTTACCATGTTTAATACTATATCTACGGCAATGACTTGTTCACCAAAAAATATGGATTTGTTTACAATGTTTGCCATGATACCTGATACAAATTTGTTTACAATGTTTCAATACCTGATACAGATTTGTTTACAATGTTTACAACGATACCTGATACAGATGTTCTTACAATGTTTACAACGATACCTGATACAGATGTGTTTACAATGTTTACAACGATACCTGATACAGATGTGTTTACAATGTTTACAACGACACCTGATACATATGTGTTTACAATGTTTACAACGACACCTGATACAGATGTGTTTACAATGTTTACAACGACACCTGATACAGATGTGTTTAATATGTGTACAACGATACCTGATACATGTGTTTACAATGTTTACAACGATACCTGATACAGATGTGTTTACAATGTTTACAACGATACCTGATACAGATGTGTTTAATATGTGTACAACGATACCTGATACATATGTGTTTACAATGTTTACAACGATACCTGATACAGATGTGTTTACAATGTTTACAACGATACCTGATACAGATGTGTTTAATATGTGTACAACGATACCTGATACATATGTGTTTACAATGTTTACAACGACACCTGATACATATGTGTTTACAATGTTTACAACGATACCTGATACAGATGTGTTTACAATGTTTACAACGACACCTGATACAGATGTGTTTACAATGTTTACAACGATACCTGATACAGATGTGTTTAATATGTGTACAACGATACCTGATACATATGTGTTTACAATGTTTACAACGACACCTGATACAGATGTGTTTACAATGTTTACAACGACACCTGATACATATGTGTTTACAATGTTTACAACGATACCTGATACATATGTGTTTACAATGTTTACAACGATACCTGATACAGATGTGTTTACAATGTTTACAACGATACCTGATACAGATGTGTTTACAATGTTTACAACGACACCTGATACATATGTGTTTACAATGTTTACAACGATACCTGATACAGATGTGTTTACAATGTTTACAACGACACCTGATACAGATGTGTTTACAATGTTGACAACGACACCTGATACAGATGTGTTTACAATGTTGACAACGACACCTGATACAGATGTGTTTACAATGTTTACAACGATACCTGATACAGATGTGTTTACAATGTTTACAACGATACCTGATACAGATGTGTTTACAATGTTTACAACGATACCTGATACAGATGTGTTTAATATGTGTACAACGATACCTGATACATATGTGTTTACAATGTTTACGACACCTGATACAGATGTGTTCACAATGTTTACAACGATACCTGATACAGATGTGTTTACAATGTTTACAACGACACCTGATACAGATGTGTTTACAATGTTTACAACGATACCTGATACAGATGTGTTTACCATGATTACCACAACAATAGCTAATAGATTTGTATCCCATGTCTACAATGATAGCTAACGTAGATTTGTTTTTAATGTTTACCACGATCGCTAATACGAATTTGTTTTCTATGTTTAAGATATCTCAGTAAGCTCAGTAAGATGTAGAAGTGATGATGACTTACATGACGGAGAGTGCATGCTGGTTATTGTCGGATTTGGGGCGTACAAGAAAGGTTCCATGGGATTTGTTGGCGAGCAGCTCCTCTGCCTCGGGCCGGTTACAGTTGACGTACCAGCTCTCCTGGTTGTAATGGCAGAGTGACACACCCTTCTCCTCCTCAAGGAGCCCGTCCACGAAGTCCTGACTCAACCCCTCGTTCAGGACATTCCTGAAACAAATACATCAAACAAATACTGAGATGGTACTGAGGTGAAATGGGGTTGAGGACTATTGCACTTACATAGCAACATGCACACGCATTCGTGTAAACAAGTGTCTCCAGTGTTCCGGTAATTACCAGTTATTTACCGGAAAAACTAGACTTGGACTGGTAATTCATGTGACTGACAGTAAATTAGGTACCTTATAAATCTTTGTTGTTGAACAAAACATCAGCGATATTTTCCGAACATAGTCATCTTGTCTAACCATCAGGGTTTCCCCTTGTCTATTTTTAGAGCAATGAAATAACATTTCGCTTTGCTTGACATTAAATATATATTTGTAGCAACTTCGTCTCAAAATATTAAAAAAGAAAGAAAGAGAAAACTGTGACTGAACTTTGTTTGAATGATGTGACACGTCGCTATATAAGTGCAATAATCTTGGACGCGACGTTAAACCCCATTTCACCTCACCCACCTCACCTTGAATGATGTGTAGATCTAAGTTAACTAACATATTTCAGAGGTGATGTCATGGCATTGAACATAATGTTGAATTAATTACAACCAGGTTACCACTAGACCTATCTATGTGCCAAGTTTGGTTAAGATGTCTCGCATGTTTTTTTAGTTCTGCTCTTTAAACGAAACGTGACAGATGGACTGCATTGTTTGTTTGTTTGTTTGTTTGTTGTTTTACGTCGCACTCAGCAATGTTCCAGCTATATGACGGCGGTCTGTAAATAATCGAGTCTGGACCAGACTATCCAGTGATTGACATCATGAGCATCAATCCACGCAATTGGGATACGATGACATGCATCAACCAAGCCAGCGAGTCTGACCACCCGATCCCGTAAGTCGCCTCTTACGACAAGCATAGTCGCCTTTTACAGCAAGCATGGGTTGCTGAAGACCTATTCTAACCTGGGACTGCATTATTCACTGCAGTAGAGTTCATGTATGATGCTTGTAAATAAAGAATGAAAATTATACAGGTACACACGTTGTAAAGGATACACTGGGTAATTACACAGAGTGTTGCAATACTATTGGGTTCTTAAATCTAATTGCTTATGTGAATCTCTGAGTCTTGTTTACAGGTACACACGTTGTAAAGGATACACTGGGTAATTACACAGAGTGGTGCAATACTATTGGGTTCTTAAATCTAATTGCTTATGTGAATCTCTGAGTCTTGTAACCTATCTCCCAGAGATCAAATGGGTTGATAGATGAAAGGACTACTTGGTCTCATGTTGACATGTTTAGCATTTAGTTTCAGACAGGATACATTACAACAAGGATCCATTTCAACTCAGCCAGCGTACCGAGGTGTTGGTGTGTGTTATTCAGGATTGACGGATGAAGTATTAGGTGTTGCAATATCAAAGAGGAGGATGGTACTTGAACCCGCGTCTTGGTAATTCATTGGAAATTAGGACTGATAAGGGTATGGGACTAATTTTCACATGACAGCAAACATCAGTGGAGGAGCTAAATTTCTAATAGAAAGTATATTGTTAGTTGTCACAAAGTGGTGCAGGGATTCCAACCCTCTCATCAAACCAGATAGTTTCTAACATGGCTATAGGCAGTGTTTGAATAATTTTAAAACCCAACAAGAGGCAGGTGACCCATTAGTCTTGCCTGCCAATTTTCAAAGTTGCCTGTCCGCATCATATTGAAAAATAGCAAAACCTAAATCTTGATTCAGTTGAAATAATGCAAACAATGACTTGAAAACCCACGAGGAGTTATAATAAAACAGAAACAACATACATGTGGCTGATAATTGTGTATGAATTTTAGAAGATGTTGGTTTATAAGGCGGTTCACAACTTCATGAATTAGTCTTGGTGAGGGTAGTAACCTTGGGGTACATCGGCCCTTTGTATCACCCTTTGACCTACCACTACCAACACGTGCCCCTACCTCCTCACTTCTTCCTACTGACTACCAACATGTGCCCCTACCTCCTCATTTCTTCCTACTCACTACCAACACGTGCCCCTACCTCCTCATTTCTTCCTACTCACTACCAACACGTGCCCCTACCCCCTCATTTCTTCCTACTCACTACCAACACGTGCCCCTACCTCCTCATTTCTTCCTACTCACTACCAACACGTGCCCCTACCTCCTCATTTCTTCCTACTCACTACCAACACGTGCCCCTACCTCCTCACTTCTTCCTACTCACTACCAACACGTGCCCCTACCTCCTCATTTCTTCCTACTCACTACCAACACGTGCCCCTACCTCCTCATTTCTTCCTACTCACTACCAACACGTGCCCCTACCCCCTCATTTCTTCCTACTCACTACCAACACGTGCCCCTACCCCCTCACTTCTTCCTACTGACTACCAACACGTGCCCCTACCTCCTCACTTCTTCCTACTGACAACCAACACATGCCCCTACCTCCTCATTTCTTCCTACTCACTACCAACACGTGCCCCTACCTCCTCATTTCTTCCTACTCACTACCAACACGTGCCCCTACCTCCTCATTTCTTCCTACTCACTACCAACACGTGCCCTTACCTCCTCATTTCTTCCTACTCACTACCAACACGTGCCCCTACCTCCTCACTTCTTCCTACTGACTACCAACACGTGCCCCTACCTCCTCACTTCTTCCTACTCACTACCAACACATGCCCCTACCTCCTCACTTCTTCCTACTCACTACCAACACGTGCCCCTGCCTCCTTATTTCTTCCTACTCACTACCAACACGTGCCCCTACCCCCTCATTTCTTCTTACTCACTACCAACACGTGCCCCTACCCCCTCATTTCTTCCTACTCACTACCAACACGTGCCCCTACCTCCTCATTTCTTCACGCTGATTACCGAGCCTCTTCACTTCCGGCCTCAGGTTGATCATGTCATTGATAGCTCTGTTGTTGTCGGTGTTCATCTGCTCTGCCAGCCGCCGCTGCTTGTCGTAGCTCTCTTTCAGTGACACCAGGCGGTTCTCTTGGAGCTTCATGTTCCTCTCAAACCTAAACACAGAACACAGCACTGTACACTGACAGAACACAGCCCCGTACACTGACAGAACACAGCCCTGTACACTGACAGAACACAGCACTGTACACTGACAGAACACCGCCCTGTACACTGACAGAACACAGCACTGTACACTGACAGAACACAGCCCTGTACACTGACAGAACACAGCACTGTACACTGACAGAACACAGCCCTGTACACTGACAGAACACAGCCCTGTACACTGACAGAACACAGCCCTGTACACTGACAGAACACAGCACTGTACACTGACAGACCACAGCCCTGTACACTGACAGAACACAGCCCTGTACACTGACAGAACACAGCACTGTACACTGACAGAACACAGCCCCGTACACTGACAGAACACAGCCCCGTACACTGACAGAACACAGCACTGTACACTGACAGAACACAGCCCCGTACACTGACAGAACACAGCCCCGTACACTGACAGAACACAGCACTGTACACTGACAGAACACAGCACTGTACACTGACAGAACACAGCCCAGTTCACTGACAGAACACAGCCCTGTACACTGACAGAACACAGCACTGTACACTGACAGACCACAGCCCTGTACACTGACAGAACACAGCCCTGTACACTGACAGAACACAGCCCTGTACACTGACAGAACACAGCCCTGTACACTGACAGAACACAGCACTGTACACTGACAGAACACAGCCCAGTTCACTGACAGAACACAGCCCTGTACACTGACAGAACACAGCACCGTACACTGACAGAACACAGCCCCGTACACTGACAGAACACAGCACTGTACACTGACAGAACACAGCCCCGTACACTGACAGAACACAGCCCCGTACACTGACAGAACACAGCACTGTACACTGACAGAACACAGCACTGTACACTGACAGAACACAGCCCAGTTCACTGACAGACCACAGCCCTGTACACTGACAGAACACAGCCCGGTACACTGACAGACCACAATTTCAAATTTGACCCCCAAACTCTTTAACGACCTATCTGATCGCCTGCTCCCCAACAGAAATGATCATATGATATGATCACTTCCATAAACCAATACCATATAGATCAGGAGATATGTCTCGATGATTGCCACTATCCCCTACTTTTTCTGCACAGTATATTTGAGTAGTGACACTGAAGACTTAATGTAGGTGCCAAGGTAGAGAGATGGAATCGATATCTAATAAGGTGATAAGAGTCAAAACATCATACTTAATACGAGAAAGTTAAACAATAAGCAGACATACATGGGAATCTCGTGCTGACTGAGCTGGCCTTGGTGCTGTAGCAACGTCTTCTGCTGATCCTCCATCATGCTCTTCATCTTGACCATCGCTTCGAGGGACATGTAACTGCGCTGGATCTCCTGGAGACACCATAAATAAAACAGTCACCAGATGTAGTAGACTATATATACATCTAGGCACCACCTACCATACTGCGATAGTCGTAGTTGACGTGGTGGTTGTAGAAGGCTATATATACATCTAGGCACCACCTACCATACTGCGATAGTCGTAGTTGACGTGGTGGTTGTAGAAGGCTATATATACATCTAGGCACCACCTACCATACTGCGATAGTCGTAGTTGACGTGGTGGTTGTAGAAGGCTATATATACATCTAGGCACCACCTACCATACTGCGATAGTCGTAGTTGACGTGGTGGTTGTAGAAGGCTATATATACATCTAGGCACCACCTACCATACTGCGATAGTCGTAGTTGACGTGGTGGTTGTAGAAGGCTATATATACATCTAGGCACCACCTACCATACTGCGATAGTCGTAGTTGACGTGGTGGTTGTAGAAGGCTATATATACATCTAGGCACCACCTACCATACTGCGATAGTCGTAGTTGACGTGGTGGTTGTAGAAGGCTATATATACATCTAGGCACCACCTACCATACTGCGATAGTCGTAGTTGACGTGGTGGTTGTAGAAGGCTATATATACATCTAGGCACCACCTACCATACTGCGATAGTCGTAGTTGACGTGGTGGTTGTAGAAGGCTATATATACATCTAGGCACCACCTACCATACTGCGATAGTCGTAGTTGACGTGGTGGTTGTAGAAGGCTATATATACATCTAGGCACCACCTACCATACTGCGATAGTCGTAGTTGACGTGGTGGTTGTAGAAGGCTATATATACATCTAGGCACCACCTACCATACTGCGATAGTCGTAGTTGACGTGGTGGTTGTAGAAGGCTATATATACATCTAGGCACCACCTACCATACTGCGATAGTCGTAGTTGACGTGGTGGTTGTAGAAGGCTATATATACATCTAGGCACCACCTACCATACTGCGATAGTCGTAGTTGACGTGGTGGTTGTAGAAGGCTATATATACATCTAGGCACCACCTACCATACTGCGATAGTCGTAGTTGACGTGGTGGTTGTAGAAAGCTATATATACATCTAGGCACCACCTACCATACTGAGATAGTCGTAGTTGACGTGGTGGTTGTAGAAGGCTATATATACATCTAGGCACCACCTACCATACTGGGATAGTCTTAGTTGTCGTGGTGGTTGTTGTAGGCTATATATACATCTAGGCACCACCTACCATACTGAGATAGTCTTAGTTGTCGTGGTGGTTGTTGTAGGCTATATATACATCTAGGCACCACCTACCATACTGGGATAGTCGTAGTTGTCGTGGTGGTTGTTGTAGGCTATATATACATCTAGGCACCACCTACCATACTGAGATAGTCGTAGTTGACGTGGTGGTTGTAGAAGGCTATATATACATCTAGGCACCACCTACCATACTGGGATAGTCGTAGTTGTCGTGGTGGTTGTTGTAGGCTATATATACATCTAAGCACCACCTACCATACTGGGATAGTCTTAGTTGTCGTGGTGGTTGTTGTAGGCTATATATACATCTAAGCACCACCTACCATACTGGGATAGTCTTAGTTGTCGTGGTGGTTGTTGTAGGCTATATATACATCTAGGCACCACCTACCATACTGGGATAGTCGTAGTTGTCGTGGTGGTTGTAGAAGGCTATATATACATCTAAGCACCACCTACCATACTGAGAAAGTCATAGTTGTTGTTGTGGTTGTTGTAGGCTATATATACATCTAGGCATCACCTACCATGCTAAGAAAGTCATAGTTGTCGTGGTGGTTGTTGTAGGCTATATATACATCTAGGCATCACATACCATGCTAAGAAAGTCATAGTTGTCGTGGTGGTTGTTGTAGGCTATATATACATCTAGGCATCACATACCATGCTAAGAAAGTCATAGTTGTCGTGGTGGTTGTTGTAGGCTATATATACATCTAGGCACCACCTACCATGCTAAGAAAGTCATAGTTGTCGTGGTGGTTGTTGTAGGCTATATATCCATCTAGGCACCACCTACCATGCTAAGAAAGTCGTAGTTGTCATGGTGGTTGTTGTAGGCTATATATACATCTAGGCACCACCTACCATACTAAGAAAGTCGTAGTTGTCATGGTGGTTGTTGTAGGCTATATATCCATCTAGGCACCACCTACCATGCTAAGAAAGTCATAGTTGTCATGGTGGTTGTTGTAGGCTATATATACATCTAGGCACCACCTACCATGCTAAGAAAGTCATAGTTGTCGTGGTGGTTGTTGTAGGCTATATATCCATCTAGGCAGCACCTACCATGCTAAGAAAGTCGTAGTTGTCATGGTGGTTATTGTAGGCTATATATACATCTAGGCATCACCTACCATGCTAAGAAAGTCATAGTTGTCGTGGTGGTTGTTGTAGGCTATATATCCATCTAGGCACCACCTACCATGCTAAGAAAGTCGTAGTTGTCATGGTGGTTGTTGTAGGCTATATATACATCTAGGCAGCACCTACCATGCTAAGAAAGTCGTAGTTGTCGTGGTGGTTGTTGTAGGCTATATATACATCTAGGCACCACCTACCATACTGAGAAAGTCGTAGTTGTCGTGGTGGTTGTCGTGGTGGTTGTTGTAGGCTATATATACATCTAGGCTCCACCTACCATACTGAGAAAGTCGTAGTTGTCGTGGTGGTTGTTGTAGGCCTTGTGTTTCTCCAGGTACTTCTTATTGACTTCCACCAGCTTGGACAGTTTGGTGTACAGGTTGTCCCCCTCGTCCTCCTCTGTCAGCCACTGACAACACGATAAACACAGCGTTCACACTAGGGGTGTAACGATACATAGTACACCGGTATGTTGTGTGTTTTCATGCGACGATAAGATACACAATTCTCTTTTTTCTGTATCGATACAAGATGTATACTTACTAAAGAACTTACTACTTGTTTAATGATACCCAGCATTTTTGTCAGTCAAATATCATGAAAAGTGTCGTAATTAGGGTTTCAAGTTCACTAAAAAAAACCAGCAACTACGAATATGTGTCTACAGCTAGCTTTACCTTTGAACCTGTTCTGAAATATTTCTAGTCAAGAAGTTTCCATGTGATTTGACGTAAATATGAGTATCATGATACGTAACGTATCATATCCTATATATGGTCATATGTATCGTATCATGACCTTGCTGTATTGTTTCACCCCTAGTTCACACCCACGACTCACAGAACACATACAGTCATCACTCCTAGCAATAGAACTATCATGAATAGCAAACACTATCTGCCGAACAATGATTTTCAAACCTCTGAATACTTTTAAATATATCAAGCTCTTGAAGGTTCAAAACCGATTTCAAAGACTAAAGGTAGCACATTGTTGATTACACAAATTTTGCACACAATTTTTAATGGCAGCTGTTTTGATAATATGGCATGAAAAGAAATACTCACGGAATGCTCCAACCTTGTGAATGGATACAGTAGTTTGATGTCGAGGCTGCGGTTGTGAATCTTCAGTGATGTTGTCTGGTATTTATCTATCAGCTCCACCACGGAGGGGAACTCGCACGGCTCCGCGAAACCAAACAGGTTGTCCTGGCGGAGGATCTTGATACATTTATTGGTGCCATCTTTCCTGTGGAGAGCATCCAAGATGTCACAAATGAAGAGTGTACTGATCAGAGGACAAGAGCAAACTGATCAGAGGACTTGAGAGTACTGATCACAGGACTTGAGAGTACTGATTAGAGGACAAGAGCATACTGATCAGAGGACAAGAGCATACTGATCAGAGGACTTGACAGTACTGATCAGATGTCTAGAGCAAACTGATCAGAGGACTTGAGAGTACTGATCAGAGGACTTGAGAGTACTGATCAGAGGACTAGAGCAAACTGATCAGAGGACAAGAGCATATTGATCAGAGGACGTGAGTACTGATTAGAGGACTAGAGTGTGCTGATTAGAGGACTAGAGTGTACTGATTAGAGGACTTGAGAGTACTGATCAGAGGACTAGAGTGTACTGATTAAAGGACTAGCGTGTTCTGATTAGAGGACTAGAGTGTACTGATTAAAGGACTAGCGTGTTCTGATTAGAGGACTAGAGTGTATTTATTAGAGGACTAGAGTGTTCTTAGCAGAGGACTAGAGTGTACTGATCAGAGGACAAGAGCACACTGATCAGAGGACAAGAGCATACTGATCAGAGGACTTGAGAGTACTGATTAGAGGACAAGAGCATACTGATCAGAGGACTTGAGAGTACTGATCAGAGGACTAGAGTGTACCGATCAGAGGACTTGAGAGTACTGATCAGAGGACAAGAGCATACTGATCAGAGGACAAGAGCATACTGATCAGAGGACTTGAGAGTACTGATCAGAGGACTAGAGTGTACTGATCAGAGGACTAGAGCGTACTGATCAGAGGACTAGAGTATACAGATCAGAGGTGATGTGAGGTGAAATTGGGTTTAACGTCGCGTCCAAGATTATTGCACTTATATAGCGACGTGCATGCACGTGTATGTGTGTGTGTGGCTGCTTGTACTAGTCCGGACTGATGCCGATTTATAGTGCTAGCTCACTGAGATACCATGCCGCAGTTTAACATGAATACCCCACTCAGACACAGTATACTGACTCCGAGCCGACCAGTCCTTGTTTTAGCCCCTTAATGCCGAGCGCCAGACAGGGTAACAACAAGTACAATCTTTTAACGTCTTTTTGTATGACGCGGCCCGGGATCGAACCCTGGACCTTCCGCTCTCCGGGCGGACGCTCTACCACAAGACCACGGAGGCGGTCCTATACTGATCAGAGGACAAGAGCATACTGATCAGAGGACTAGAGTGTACCGATGAGAGGACTAGAGTGTACTGATGAGAGGATTAGAGTGTACTGAAAAGAGGATTTGAGTGTACTAAACAGAGGACTAGAGTGAACCGATTAGAGGACTAGGGTGTACTTAACAGAGGACTTGAGTGTACTGGTCAGAGGACAAGAGCATACTGATCAGAGGACAAATGCATACTGATCAGAGGACTTGAGAGTACTGATTAGAGGACTAGAGTGTACTGATTAGAGGACAAGAGCATACTGATCAGAGGACTTAAGAGTACTAATCAGAGGACTAGAGTGTACTCATTAGAGGAATTGAGAGTACTGATCAGAGGACAAGATCATACTGATCAGAGGACAAGAGCATACTGATCAGAGGCCTTGAGTGTACTGATCAGAGGATTAGAGTGTACTGATTAGAGGACAAGAGTGTACTGATTAGAGGACTAGAGCGTACTGATTAGAGGACTTGAGAGTACTCATCAGAGGACAAGAGCATACTGATCAGAGGACAAGAGCAAACTTATCAGAGGACTTGAGTGTACTGATCAGAGGACTAGAGAGTACTGATTAGAGGACTAGTGTGTACCGATCAGAGGACTTGAGAGTACTGATCAGAGGACAAGAGCATACTGATCAGAGGACAAGAGCATACTGATCAGAGGACTTGAGAGTACTGATCAGAGGACTAGAGTGTACTGATCAGAGGACTAGAGCGTACTGATCAGAGGACTAGAGTATACAGATCAGAGGTGATGTGAGGTGAAATTGGGTTTAACGTCGCGTCCAAGATTATTGCACTTATATAGCGACGTGCATGCACGTGTATGTGTGTGTGTGGCTGCTTGTACTAGTCCGGACTGATGCCGATTTATAGTGCTAGCTCACTGAGATACCATGCCGCAGTTTAACATGAATACCCCACTCAGACACAGTATACTGACTCCGAGCCGACCAGTCCTTGTTTTAGCCCCTTAATGCCGAGCACCAGACAGGGTAACAACAAGTACAATCTTTTAACGTCTTTTTGTATGACGCGGCCCGGGATCGAACCCTGGACCTTCCGCTCTCCGGGCGGACGCTCTACCACAAGACCACGGAGGCGGTCCTATACTGATCAGAGGACAAGAGCATACTGATCAGAGGACTAGAGTGTACCGATGAGAGGACTAGAGTGTACTGATGAGAGGATTAGAGGGTCCTGAAATGAGGATTTGAGTGTACTAAACAGAGGACTAGAGTGAACCGATTAGAGGACTAGGGTGTACTTAACAGAGGACTTGAGTGTACTGGTCAGAGGACAAGAGCATACTGATCAGAGGACAAATGCATACTGATCAGAGGACTTGAGAGTACTGATTAGAGGACTAGAGTGTACTGATTAGAGGACAAGAGCATACTGATCAGAGGACTTAAGAGTACTAATCAGAGGACTAGAGTGTACTCATTAGAGGAATTGAGAGTACTGATCAGAGGACAAGATCATACTGATCAGAGGACAAGAGCATACTGATCAGAGGCCTTGAGTGTACTGATCAGAGGATTAGAGTGTACTGATTAGAGGACAAGAGTGTACTGATTAGAGGACTAGAGCGTACTGATTAGAGGACTTGAGAGTACTCATCAGAGGACAAGAGCATACTGATCAGAGGACAAGAGCAAACTTATCAGAGGACTTGAGTGTACTGATCAGAGGACTAGAGAGTACTGATTAGAGGACTAGTGTGTACTGATGAGAGGACTTGAGTGTACTGATCAGAGGACTAGAGTGTACTGATTAGAGGACTAGAGTGTACTTAACAGAGGACTAGAGTGTACGTAACAGAATACTAGAGTGTACTGATTAGAGGACTATAGGGTACTTAACAGAGGACTAGAGTGTACTGATCAGTGGACTAGAGTGTACTTAACAGAGGACTAGAGTGTACGTAACAGAGGACTAGAGTGTACTTAACAGAGGACTAGAGTGTGCTGATCAGAGGACTAGAGTGTACTTAACAGAGGACAGGGATGTACTGAACAGAGGACAGGGATGTACTGAACAGAGGACAGGGATGTACTGAACAGAAGATAAGGGTGTATTGCTCAGGACAAGCATGTACTAACCTGAGGACAAGTGTGTATTCCCCAGGAGTGGTTGAGTTTCTCACTAGGAAAGTGCCATCAGCGGTGTCAAACAGTTTCTCCCCAGCCTCGATCCTGTAAATGATTATGCACTGCATTATACATGACCTGAAGTTGGCACCGGTGTTGTGGTGACACTCACAGCAAGGAGATGTGATGGAAGGAAGGCTGGCTTTAACATGGCTGTGTCCACCAGAATAATCACTCTCATACTAAACTGTATCATGTTGACTATGTAAGCTTACTAAATCAATATTTTACTAGGAGATGTGGCCCCAGTACCACTGTGTGAGACAGGACACCTACCTGGAGATGTGACCTCCACTGTGTGAGACAGGATACCTACCTGGAGATGTGGCCCCAGTACCACTGTGTGTACCTACCTGGAGATGTGGCCCCAGTACCACTGTGTGAGACAGGACACCTTCCTGGAGATGTCACCTCCACTGTGTGAGACAGGACACCTACCTGGAGATGTCACCTCCACTGTGTGAGACAGGACACCTACCTGGAGATGTCACCTCCACTGTGTGAGACAGGACACCTACCTGGAGATGTCACCCCAGTACAACTGTGTGAGACATGACACCTACCTGGAGATGTCACCTCCACTGTGTGAGACAGGACACCTTCCTGGAGATGTCACCTCCACTGTGTGAGACAGGACACCTACCTGGAGATGTCGCCCCAGTACCACTGTTAGAGACAGGACACCTTCCTGGAGATGTCACCTCCACTGTGTGAGACAGGACACCTACCTGGAGATGTCACCTCCACTGTGTGAGACAGGACACCTACCTGGAGATGTCACCTCCACTGTGTGAGACAGGACACCTACCTGGAGATGTCGCCCCAGTACCACTGTGTGAGACATGACACCTACCTGGAGATGTCACCTCCACTGTGTGAGACAGGACACCTTCCTGGAGATGTCACCTCCACTGTGTGAGACAGGACACCTACCTGGAGATGTCGCCCCAGTACCACTGTGTGAGACAGGACACCTACCTGGAGATGTCACCTCCACTGTGTGAGACAGGACACCTTCCTGGAGATGTCGCCCCAGTACCACTGTGTGAGACAGGACACCTACCTGGAGATGTCACCTCCACTGTTTGAGACAGGACACCTTCCTGGAGATGTCGCCCCAGTACCACTGTGTGAGACATGACACCTACCTGGAGATGTGACCTCCACTGTGTGAGACAGGACACCTACCTGGAGATGTCACCTCCACTGTGTGAGACAGGACACCTTCCTGGAGATGTGGCCCCAGTACCACTGTTTGAGACAGGACACCTACCTGGAGATGTCGCCCCAGTACCACTGTGTGTACCTACCTGCAGATGTGGCCCCAGTACCACTGTGTGAGACATGACACCGTCCTGGAGATGTCACCTCCACTGTGTGAGACAGGACACCTACCTGGAGATGTCGCCCCAGTACCACTGTGTGAGACAGGACACCTACCTGGAGATGTGGCCCCAGTACCACTGTGTGAGACATGACACCGTCCTGGAGATGTCACCTCCACTGTGTGAGACAGGACACCTACCTGGAGATGTCACCTCCACTGTGTGAGACAGGACACCTTCCTGGAGATGTCGCCCCAGTACCACTGTGTGAGACAGGACACCTACCTGGAGATGTCACCTCCACTGTGTGAGACAGGACACCTACCTGGAGATGTCGCACCAGTACCACTGTATTAGACAGGACACCTACCTGGAGATGTCACCTCCACTGTGTGAGACAGGACACCTACCTGGAGATGTCACCTCCACTGTGTGAGACAGGACACCTTCCTGGAGATGTGGCCCCAGTACCACTGTGTGAGACATGACACCGTCCTGGAGATGTCACCACCACTGTATTAGACAGGACACCTACCTGGAGATGTCACCTCCACTGTGTGAGACAGGACACCTACCTGGAGATGTCACCTCCACTGTGTGAGACAGGACACCTACCTGGAGATGTGGCCCCAGTACCACTGTGTGAGACATGACACCGTCCTGGAGATGTCACCTCCACTGTGTGAGACAGGACACCTAACTGGAGATGTCGCCCCAGTACCACTGTGTGAGACAGGACACCTACCTGGAGATGTCACCTCCACTGTGTGAGACAGGACACCTACCTGGAGATGTCACCTCCACTGTGTGAGACATGACACCGTCCTGGAGATGTGGCCCCAGTACCACTGTGTGAGACATGACACCTTCCTGGAGATGTCACCTCCACTGTGTGAGACATGACACCGTCCTGGAGATGTGGCCCCAGTACCACTGTGTGAGACAGGACACCTACCTGGAGATGTCGCCCCAGTACCACTGTGTGAGACAGGACACCTTCCTGGAGATGTGGCCCCCACTGTGTGAGACAGGACACCTACCTGGAGATGTGGCCCCAACTGTGTGAGACAGGACACCTACCTGGAGATGTCGCCCCCACTGTGTGAGACAGTACACCGTCCTGGAGATGTGGCCCCAGTACCACTGTGTGAGACAGGACACCTACCTGGAGATGTCGCCCCCACTGTGTGAGACAGGACACCTACCTGGAGATGTGGCCCCAGTACCACTGTGTGAGACATGACACCGTCCTGGAGATGTGGCCCCAGTACCACTGTGTGAGACAGGACACCTACCTGGAGATGTCGCCCCCACTGTGTGAGACAGGACACCTACCTGGAGATGTGGCCCCAGTACCACTGTGTGAGACATGACACCGTCCTGGAGATGTGGCCCAAGTACCACTGTGTGAGACATGACACCGTCCTGGAGATGTGGCCCCAGTACCACTGTGTGAGACAGGACACCGTCCTGGAGATGTCACCTCCACTGTGTGAGACAGGACACCTACCTGGAGATGTCACCTCCACTGTGTGAGACAGGAAACCTTCCTGGAGATGTCGCCCCAGTACCACTGTGTGAGACAGGACACCTACCTGGAGATGTCACCTCCACTGTGTGAGAGAGGACACCTACCTGGAGATGTCGCACCAGTACCACTGTATTAGACAGGACACCTACCTGGAGATGTCACCTCCACTGTGTGAGACAGGACACCTACCTGTAGATGTCACCTCCACTGTGTGAGACAGGACACCTTCCTGGAGATGTGGCCCCAGTACCACTGTGTGAGACATGACACCGTCCTGGAGATGTCACCTCCACTGTGTGAGACAGGACACCTACCTGGAGATGTGACCTCCACTGTGTGAGTCATGACACTGTCCTGGAGATGTGGCCCCAGTACCACTGTGTGAGACAGGACACCTACCTGGAGATGTGGCCCCAGTACCACTGTGTGAGACATGACACCGTCCTGGAGATGTCACCTCCACTGTGTGAGACATGACACCGTCCTGGAGATGTCACCTCCACTGTGTGAGACAGGACACCTACCTGGAGATGTCACCTCCACTGTGTGAGACAGGACACCTTCCTGGAGATGTCACCTCCACTGTGTGAGACATGACACCTACCTGGAGATGTCACCTCCACTGTGTGAGACAGGACACCTACCTGGAGATGTCACCTCCACTGTGTGAGACAGGACACCTACCTGGAGATGTGGCCCCAGTACCACTGTGTGAGACATGACACCGTCCTGGAGATGTCACCTCCACTGTGTGAGACAGGACACCTAACTGGAGATGTCGCCCCAGTACCACTGTGTGAGACAGGACACCTACCTGGAGATGTCACCTCCACTGTGTGAGACAGGACACCTACCTGGAGATGTCACCTCCACTGTGTGAGACATGACACCGTCCTGGAGATGTGGCCCCAGTACCACTGTGTGAGACATGACACCTTCCTGGAGATGTCACCTCCACTGTGTGAGACATGACACCGTCCTGGAGATGTGGCCCCAGTACCACTGTGTGAGACAGGACACCTACCTGGAGATGTCGCCCCAGTACCACTGTGTGAGACAGGACACCTTCCTGGAGATGTGGCCCCCACTGTGTGAGACAGGACACCTACCTGGAGATGTGGCCCCAACTGTGTGAGACAGGACACCTACCTGGAGATGTCGCCCCCACTGTGTGAGACAGTACACCGTCCTGGAGATGTGGCCCCAGTACCACTGTGTGAGACAGGACACCTACCTGGAGATGTCGCCCCCACTGTGTGAGACAGGACACCTACCTGGAGATGTGGCCCCAGTACCACTGTGTGAGACATGACACCGTCCTGGAGATGTGGCCCCAGTACCACTGTGTGAGACAGGACACCTACCTGGAGATGTCGCCCCCACTGTGTGAGACAGGACACCTACCTGGAGATGTGGCCCCAGTACCACTGTGTGAGACATGACACCGTCCTGGAGATGTGGCCCCAGTACCACTGTGTGAGACAGGACACCTACCTGGCGATGTGGCCCCAGTACCACTGTGTGAGACAGGACACCGTCCTGGAGATGTGGCCCCAGTACCACTGTGTGAGACAGGACACCGTCCTGGAGATGTCGCCCCCACTGTGTGAGACAGGACACCTTCCTGGAGATGTGGCCCCAGTACCACTGTGTGAGACATGACACCGTCCTGGAGATGTGGCCCCAGTACCACTGTGTGAGACAGGACACCTACCTGGAGATGTGGCCCCAGTACCACTGTGTGAGACATGACACCGTCCTGGAGATGTGGCCCAAGTACCACTGTGTGAGACAGGACACCTACCTGGAGATGTGGCCCCAGTACCACTGTGTGTGACAGGACACCTACCTGAAGATATCGCCCCAACTGTGTGAGACAGGACACCTACCTGGAGATGTGGCCCCAGTACCACTGTGTGAGACAGGACACCTACCTGGAGATGTGGCCCCAGTACCACTGTGTGAGACAGGACACCTACCTGGAGATGTGGCCCCAGTACCACTGTGTGAGACAGGACACCTACCTGGAGATGTCGCCCCAACTGTGTGAGACAGGACACCTACCTGGAGATGTCGCCCCAGTACCACTGGGCCCTTTTCAGACCTTTGTCGGGCTCAGTCCATTTCATGTAGTTGTCATTCTCACTTTGGGCCTGTCAACACAACATGAACAACTGTAGAGTGTTGCCACACACGTGTATTACATGGTATAAAGGCCCCTTTACACAGGGCTGCCACCTTTGTGCCACCTTTGAGCGATCAAAATCTGGCCAGGACGCTTAATTGTCGCCTAAACTACAGTTAGCTCAAAGGAGGCAGAAAAGAGGCAGAAGCATTGCCATGGTGTCTCAAGGGTTACTGTGGTCGTCGAATGGAGGCATGGCGGTCACCAGTCATCGTTCAATGCACGCTGTTGGTCGCCCAAAGGAGGCACAAGGGAGGCAGAAGCATCGCCCAGATTGACGGGAAAATATTAAAGCAGAACCCATCTATTACCTGGCGAACATTGGGCAACCCCTGTGCCTTCATTCTGCAACAACGGCAATGCTTGTGACTCCTTTCTGTCTCCTTTGAGCCACCTTTGAGCAACCAACCTCCTTGGCAACCCTTGTGCAACTGTTTTGAACATGTTCAAAAGTTTACAGCATCTATGGCAATGTCTGAACCTCCTGTGTACCACCTTGGAACGACCTAGGCAACCATTCCGCCTCCTTTGAGCCGCACACAGGAGGCACAAAGGTCGCCATCATGTGTAAAGGCCCCCATTAGCAATACTGCACCGACTTCATTGAACTCAATAAACAGTCAGGAACAGAGTTTCTTTGTAGAGTATTGTCATTGTGATGAGTGCTATAGTAAATAATACCAGCTAGCTCGCGCTATGACGTAGCTGATGACATCAGCGCAGACCCACGTACTGACGCCATGATGAAAAAATATACCCATGATCGTATTCCAGCTTTCGTGTTATAGATACGGAGATAGTTCAATATGAGAACTCAAAGATCAGGATGCGTTCACAGTAATGGGGAATCCGGGATGAAGTGTTCTGATAGGAATGCTTAGTGCATGGCTCAATACATCGGTCAAGCAGGCGGGCAAATATCGCACATCAGCTTACAGGTTACAATCTTATTTAAAACTAACTGAGATATTCACATAATAATGACACATACATATTAAACAGGAACTGACACTGAATGAATGTATGAGTTTCAACAGCTTGAAGCTGCTACTGTCGAGGACAGAATGATAACTGACCCAAAGACTGGCAAACCATAAAGGACTGAACAAATGCTGAAGTGACATTTTATACCTGGATTGCATCCTAAATCTCATACACTGTCACACTTCTTGTCATGAAATTCTCAAGCACGTTGGGTTCTTTATTCGCAATTTCTATTCTTCTTAAGATATTTTCTCATGATTAATGGGAATTTTTGGATTGAATCATGTGTAGATCTGTGAGTGAGTGTGTGAGTTGGGTTTAATGCCGCTTTTACATTATTCCAGTTATATCGCTTAATGTGGGAGGAAAACCCGAAGTGATGCAGGTCTCAGACCTTAACCACTTTGGTGAAACCCACGAGCACGGGTATGGTGCTGACAAACCTAGAAACATAATCGGGGCTAACCGGGATTCGAACCCACAATCATAGGTTTCTGGCGTGCCCAAGGGATGCAACTCTGCACAGCGAATCACATTAGACAACTGCGCCACCCGTGCCCCCTGTAGATCTGGGAGAAAATGTGTGTACAACTGATTACTATTTCCTGCTTTTTCCCAGACAAATATACATGGTAATTTTAATCTGCGCATAGTGAGTAAATATGTTTTAACACCGCTTTTAGCAATATCACAGCACGCGACACCAGAAATGGGCATGATGGGCTTCACACATTGTACTCACATGGGGAATCGGCTCCAACCACCGACTACCCCACAACAGGAAATACAATTGAAATGACAAATCACCATGTTAAGCATGTCTAGAGATGTTTTATCACAAATTTCACATTTTCATTGACCAGATTTGTTATCTCCTGTTTGATGTAGTTTTTTACTGTGTATAATATTCGAAAATTCCTTTTTTGTCAAAATACTGCATCCCCTGGTAGATGGGGGCATTATACTTGGGTGTGTACTTTAGTCAAGAAAATATGGTACTTATTGGGGTATTATGAAACCCTTTTACTAAGGCAAGGGTACACAAGGCACTGATTAGGACAGGACAGGACAGGACAGGACAGGACAGGACAGGACAGGACAGGACAGGACAGGACAGGACAGGACAGGACAGGACAGGACAGGACAGGACAGGACAGGACAGGACAGGACAGGACAGGACAGGACAGGACAGGACAGGACTACACTACACTACACTACACTACACTACACTACACTACACTACACTACACTACACTACACTACACTACACTACACTACACTACACTACACTACACTACACTACACTGTGATTTATCTTAGCACTGACACAACATACCATTTTCACACACACTTGCCACTTTTGGGTTCCGGGGGCCTTTTTCCATTCATCCGGTTAGGGCCAGGGGCTGGGTATGGCCCTTAATGTTTACTACTCCGGGTGAGTGAGTTGGGTTTAATGCCACTTTTAACAGTATTCCAGTTATATCACAGTGTGTCAGCTTAAAGTGGGAGGAAAGCCCGAAGTGATGCAGGTCTTAGACGTTTACTACTTCGGTGAAACCCATGAACACGGGTATGGTGCGGACAAAGCTTGAAACATAATGGGGGCAAACCGGGATTTGAACCCACAATCAAAGTTTTCGGTCGTGCCCAAGAGATGCAACTCTGCACAGCGAATTGCAGCGCCATAGACGACTGGGCCACCCGTTCCCCCTACTCTGAATAATTGACACATGACTTTCTTTGTTTTCTTTATTCATCGTTTAACGCTGCACTCAGAAACTTTTTACCTACATGACAGTGGCCTATAAACTATTGCAGTCAGAATACGATGACATGCAATCATTCATGTCACCGAAACAGTAAGCTGATTCTCACAATAAACATAGGTTGCTGGTGGCCAGTTCTAACTGGGATCCCAAGGTCACAAGTCTATGAGCCTGTTATTTATTGAATCACTTCGTCTGAAGACCATGTAGACAATGGAATGAAATGAATGTTGGTGAAAAATCTAGATATACCATATATACAGAAATGATCACATAATAGAAACCCATGTTTTCACATAAGTGAAGTTTTGTTTGTGATTACCGTATTCGATGTAATAAGCGACCCACTCTAATAAGCGCCCACTGCGATATTTTGCTAATATATTGGCTCGTGAACAATCCCCATTAGCATCCCTTCTGATTGATCAATGTACATAAGACTTATTTATTTGTGTATACTACGCACCCGTGTGTTATATGCTCCCTTAATTATGGGCAATTAAATTCTGGAAAAATATATCTGTCGTGTATAATACGCACAGACTTTTCTTTTGTATCATTTCAGGCTGTCAGCATAAACCACAAAATTTACGATCTTTCAACTGGTTTTTTTTCACCAAAATTTTATTCTAATAAGAGTCCCCTATTTCTAATTTTGAGAGTACCCTGGGTGCTTATTATATCGAATATGTTAGTTATTTTATAGTGCTAATAATAACAGAAGTTAACTCATAAGACAAAACGGCAGCCCCACCAAAACCTCTACCGTTTTTCGATTTCATTTTTAATGAGATAAAGAATAAATTATCTTTTGTAAGTATGTGATCAATTAGTTAGACACAGCAATACAGTTCATATTATTATGTTCACGTTTGTAGCCTAGTTAGTTAGTGAATCAAAAGTGATCTCAGCCACAATCACAATCAGTGCCATAATCACTTCAGATCACGTTGAAATATTGGAAGTGTTTTGGATGTTGTGCCTTTCCTAACTGGCGTAGATATATTGCAAACTGATAGACTACGTTACGGTTTCGCTGGGTGGTCAGGCAGCTGACTTTGTTGATGAATGACATCGTATTAGTGGTGTAACGATACGGCGATACAGCATTGTATCCCGATGCACAGCCCACGATACGATGCATCGATTTGGAAAGCATGTATCGCGATACATACGATATTTTCATAACACAGTTTTACTTACCAGTACTTTTAAACATGAAATACGTTTAACAGTTTCAAAGCCAGTTTGTTGTTTCAGTAAAACACACTGTATTGCTGACAATTTGCTATAACAGTAAATAAACACCTTATATCTTCTTCAACTGTACTTGTCACATCTTTTAGAGAGCAGAAAGACATCAACTTGGCTTAGCTTGTACCAGTAAACACTGTATCGTGATACGTATCGTATCGCGACCCCTGTATCGCGACTTTGCTCCCTTATTGTTACACGTCTACATCGTATCCAAATTGTGTGGTGACACATACAAACTTTTAACAGTGACAGGATCTTGTAACCGCAGCTAGGGTACACTTGTACTAATTTTGTAATTCTCCACTACCTATTAGTTTGGATTACATGCTTAAACTGTAAGGACACCTACCTTTAACACCTTGGTGATAGTTAATTTAACACGTTTTCGGCCAGTAAATAACACTAATTCATGAAAACAATGAAATAGTTAATGATCCAACATGTATTTGAGACAGGGTGGTATTCAGTTGTCCAATAACCATGATAACACTTTTCCATTTTCCAAAGGTAATAAATCGTGTATGAAAACATTAATAACAGATGATGACCACTTCCGACCACTGTATTTTTTAGGATTTATGAAATGTCGCCCTCACAAAATGTTAGAGAACCAAAGCGAACAATCAGACGGCATATTGTCGGCGTGACCTATTTTTTTCCTTATTGGTTGTTTCTGATTTCGGCTCGCCTCTAAAAAGAGTTTCAATCAATTTCACATATGGAACAAAGGCATACGCACTCCATTTACCTGTGAATCTTCGCCAGACATGGGACTTGGTATTTGTCTCTACATCTATCGAAATCACTTCATGGTTCTGCCAAAACAAGGAAATAGGTGGTTCTCTACTTCGCAAAAACAGTGACATTCACAACCCGGAAGTAGAGTTTAGTATCGAAAACGAGGTCATTTTAAGTTTATCACGTGACCACGGGCCATGGCCGACTGGACCCACTTTGCGCTTTAAAGATATGGCAAGTTAAAAAAAACATTGCTGATGCTATTCGTGGTGATTATGAATATATATTTTAGATTTAAAAACCGTGTGTTTCCCTTTATTCGCAAAAATAGGAATATTAACTAGAAATTTTCTTTTCATATAATAATAGAATGTGTCTTCGGCATTAGATGAGAAATGAACAAGGAAATGTTTTGGTCGTTAAGTTTCTGTAGGAACTCCGAATTCTCCATCAGTTTAAATCATAGATCGAATAAGATCGCACGTTTTTACTTCCTTTTCACTGAATTTTGTTTTTGTAACTCGCACTAAAAGTTTTATAAATCAGAAGCAGGATTCACTTGACAAAAGAATTTAGTTGAGAATGCCAACATTTTCACATAAATGGGATATATATAAAACATACCAATAATATACACCTTCGGAAAATACCATTCGTTTTTAAAGCAAACATTATTTCCGGGATTATAATAATACATGCATAATACTATATTACACTCATCCTCATCTTCTCAGCACAGGAAACTGCAGACTGCTATAAAGACGTCGTGACCCGTGAAGATTCGGGGAGGAACAGGTCTTCAGCACCCATGTTTGCCGTAAAAGGCGACTAACGGGATCGGGTGGTCAGGCTCGCTGATCTATGCTCTTGATGTTAATCACTGGATTGTCTGGTCCAGACTCGATTATTTACAGACCGCCGTCATATAGCTGGTGGAAAATTGCCGAGTGTGGCGCTAAACAACAAACAAACATAAAGACGACGTCATGTCGCAAAAAAATAAAGACAGGAAGTTTGAATTGGAAGATTTGTTGTTTTAACGCCGCGCTCAGCAATATTCCAGCTACGGCGGTCTGTAAATACCAGTGTGTGGACATGCGGTCAGACAACTCAGTGCTTGACATCATCAACATTTATTCACATTAGAATACGATGACATACATCAAGCAAGTCAGCGTCTGACCACCCGATCTCGTTAGTCATGTATACTGAAGACGAAATCTAACAGGGATGTTCACGGGGCGACTGACGCATTTTACTACCAAAAACCACAGGGCCACGGATAGCCATACTATACTGACTGTATTGATTACATTAAAAAAAATGTAATCAGTACAGTCAGTATAGTATGGCTATCCGTGGCCCTGTGCCAAAAACCACCACAGTTAAAATGTTCTCAAGTCAACCGGGAAGTTGACACCAGTCTTGATAATACACGTGTATTGTTATGATAATCAGTATATCGGACGCGGCGTACGTCAACTAATATCGTCTCATATCTGCTGCCCAGCGATTGGACATTGGACATGATCAGTCATCAACCTTTAGCTGCATGTAAGGAAGACGTCCGCTTTGAGTGAGTGAGCTGGGTTTAACGCCGCTTTTAACAGTATTCCAGTTATATCGCGGCCTGTTAGCTTAATGTGTGAGGAAAGCCCGAAGTGATTCAGGTCTCAGACGTTTACCACTCCGGTGAAACCCACGAGCACGGGTATGGTGCTGACAAACCTAGAAACATAATCGGGGCGAACCGGGATTCGAAACCACAATCATAGGTTTCTGGCGTGCCCACAGCGATTCGCGGCGCCTTAGACGACTGGTCCACCCGTGCCCCCACCTCCGTTTTGAAATAGTATTAGTGTTAAAATAAACAAACGCAGAACAGAAATATTGAACTGAATATGAGTTCTTAATTAAGTAATGTTAAAAAATTAAGGACGAAATGAGTTTTGAATCGACCTTTGATTGTGGAATTAAGGGTTTGTGTGTCACATTTATTTAATTCATAAATTAGGACAAAGCCTGCCTTTTTATAATTAAAAACCGAAAGTTTACATACGCTGATGCTTACGAGCTGTGCAGTTCTGTAGATAATCCGGATTAGCTTGTTATAAATACATCAGCTAAGTCTTTCGTTTTTTTAATCCTCATGTAAATGGTGAAAGTAGTCCTTGCACAAGGCAGACCTTATCAAATCCAAGAGTTCTACTTCGTGTGCGTTAATTGTATGTTACTATAATCAGAGGTCGCAAGGTTACTAGGTTATCAGCACTATACCAGTGCTCGTGGCTATCGCCAAAGGGCTAAACGTCTGAGATCTGCATCACTTCGGGTTTTCCTCCCACATCAAGCTGACACACCGTGATAGCAGTGGAATACTGTTGAAAGCGGCGTTAAATCCAACCCACTCAAAAGCGATCGTTTTAAAAGCAGCATCTTTGAGAAAGAGGAACACAAATGTTATTATATTGGGAGAATTTGAAAGGTATCCGCTTTTAAGCCCTCTAAAACTGATAAAACCTTTGGAAAATCAACATTAGCCCGAACCTTAAAAACTATATTCTATTATCATAATTCAGAATGAAAGTAAAAAATGTATAGCGTACGTCAAAAATAGTTTTCACCGTCTTGGCCATAAAGATATATGATACTTTACCCGAATAGAGAACAATACATTACAAATTGAATCCATAGTGAAACGATGCCTTTCAACAAACATTGCCTTCACGAGTTCTACAAAAGATGAATGAATCTTTTCATTTCATTTAATCTAGAAGAGAATATTGGCGACATTTCTTGATATTCGGAACCTCAAATACTACCGTAAAACAGCATTTTCCGATGGGAAATGCGACATGAATGACACCGGAGATAAATATCGCGTTTATCTGCCAAAATAACATTTTTTAGGATGTCCGTGTTTTTTCTGGGCTTTCCCCATTTCCTATCCGCCCTGAATATACTTCATTCCGATGTGAATAACACAAAGTTTTCGAATCTCAACAGTGGAAAATTATGCCCCGATGTGATGAAACAAAAAACACTACCATCGCACTCACAGACATTCTTCAGCTATGTTTATCGGGAGCAAAGCCACACGATCTAAGTCATGAATTAATTTATATAAAGTGTGATACAAGAATTTTCAACTCTAAAACGAAAAAAAAACCCGGGTTTTTTTTTTTATCTCGCTTGCCCGCTCACTTGCTGATTGAGGTCGGAGATGGAAAACCATAAAAAAAGATGGCCTGACAAGTATCAATCGCCTGGGTAGCATGTTGTCCACTTCGCCGTGTGCTGATACTAAAAACCCTATATGCGTTTGATAAAGGAGTAACGCTGTTTTCACACAGCCGTACACATTCGACGACCCGGCCCATGAATGACCAGATATCACACGGTGAGGGTACGATATGTGCACCTCATGTGTAGGGGGACTGTCTGATACAAAAGACGCAGTAAACTCCTAAAAACTATATTTCCTAAGCATATTATTGTATAATCTATGGACCACAGTAGTATATAGATTATATTGACCTGGACCCACTTGCACAAAGCGATCTTAGCGCTAAGATGATCATAACTCCTATACTTTAACATAGGCTTACAATAGTCTTGATCATAACTCCTATACTTTAACATAGGCTTACAATAGTCTTAGTGCTAAGATCGCTTTGTGCAAGTGGGCCCAGATGTGTTTTGTGTGTGTGTGCGGGTGTCTGTATGAACATCTCCTTTAGGTGCTCACGTAGCATCAACATACAAATAGAAACTGTTTTAAACGTAACCAAATATTCACTGGTGCAATTGTATTATCAAAATTACACCGAATAATAAAGTACGTCACGCTAAAATGGCGAAGATAAATGGCATGCATGTATTGTTTAGTCGACAACGAAACTATACGTACTCACTACCCACAACCATGTATCGTCGCCATTTTAGTATGGAAATCTGCATTCTAAAATATACGAGAATAAAAACATAAATTGCAAGCTTCACTTCGTTCTTTTATATCATGAAATGGTATATATACACAATGAATCGCGATATCAATGATATGAGCAATGATGTGCGCATTTTGCATAACAATAAATAATAAACAAAATTGCACGAATGAAAAAGTCTGAGCACTTTTGATACTGTCTGTCGATGACCCGTATGAGGGATGTCAACATCCTCTCATCACACTGAAGTCAACCTGCTGCCTGTCCAGTTATGCCCTGATGCAGAGCGAATGTGAACACAATGGTACGATGAGTTAATGTACGATACTTGATGAGGCGGTGATGATGATAGCACTATGTGTGAAAGTTTGTACATAATTTACACAAGTTTGTTTCACAACATCAGTATTTACTTCTTCGCTGCGGCCTTCTTCTTGGTGGTCTTCGCCTTCTTGGGTTTAGCTGCCTTCTTTGCGGGAGACTTCCTGGATGCCTTGGGTTTAGGTGCCTTCTTCGCGGGAGACTTCTTGGCCTTTGGCTTCTTTGCCTTAGCGGGAGACTTCTTGGCGCCAGCTGCCTTTGGCTTCTTCACCTTCTTAGCTCCGGCGGCTTTGGGCTTGGCAGCTTTCTTGGCCTTTGGCTTCTTTGCCTTCTCGGCCTTGTCTCCGAGTCTGAAGGATCCGGAGGCACCGACTCCCTTGGACTGCTTCAGGGTACCATTCTTTACACCAGCGCGGAGAGCCATCTTCAAGTGATTTCTGGCGGAGTTAGCATCAACTTTGTAGTTGGCCAAGATGTACTTGAGAATAGCCTGACGAGAAGAACCACCACGTTCTTTCAGATAGGCGATAGCCTTTGCGATCATGTCACAGTATTTGGGGTGACTTGAAGGCTTCTTGGGCTTGGATGCCCTCTTCTTTGCTGGTGCCTTAGCAGGTGATTTTGTTTGTGCGGCGTCGGCCATTTTCAGAGTTTTGCTTGACAGCGAGTTCTGCTACTTCGTGTTATCGGCGAGAAAGCGAGTATGCTGACAGCGGAGCGCTGACCCATATATATTGGCTTCGCGCGGACGTCGGAGAAGACAACCAACAACTCGCAATGGCTTCGCTAGTGTTATGACTGCTTATACACAAGAGTGTGCTTCCTCCATTCTCTTTGAGCGCTTGCAGATTATTACCCTAACACTGACGCACATAGGCATCAATATTTATAGAAAGTCATATGAAAATGCTATCATACTGTGAAATTTGAACAATATTCACTGTTTATTATCTGAGAAAACTCATTTTATTGAGCGATGTCTGTATATGCGAATGGCTAGCTCTACCAAACTTGATGCCTTTTGTGGAAAACTCCATCGCCTCAGCACTGAAAATCTGATGTTGGTCCATTTTTCAATCATTAATCTCTTGGAGAAAACGATCATATACTGCATTTATCGAAAAATTATCTCATGATCGAAGTAAACTTTCGAAGCAACAAACACAAGTTGTCAATTTCGGCCGCCATTTTTCTTCATATCGGACGCAAATCACTCCACTAAATACACTATTTCTCCTTAATTTACGTACAAATCAACAGAATTTCTTTCACATATACATTTAATATCACCCAGGGTTAAAATATGTACTAATTCATTATACTTTAGAACTCAGAAACCGGTGTATCCGTTAAAATATTACGCGTCGTTCACCGGGACATATAATTGGGAGTTGACAACAGAATCCAACATTTATAGTGCGCAAAAAAGGATTTTTTAAATATTATCATTACTTACATCTCTTGTAAATGAATTAAACATGCACCAGGCTATGTTGTCACGTGTGTATGAACAAATTAACTCAAAACCCATGGAATTTTGTGCATAAAGCATGTGGAAAATTTCCACTCGCCCAGTGTTACAAATGCTCGTTCCATAGATTTGTTGATACAATTTTTTCGTATTTATTGCGTCTATGTGTAGTTTTAAGTTCATGAAAATGTAAACATCAAATTATTATTGTTTTAGTTCTGGGGATGATTCCATGTTTTGAACATTATATTGTATTTTGTTCACCAAATGAAACGTTTCACCTAGCTCGACCCAAGTTCCCGTCTCTACGACCCATCCAGCATTGGGACGTGGCAAAATGTCAAAATAAAACCTTACTGGTTATGCCAAATGAAAACTTAAAAATATACTTTTTGTTTACAGATATTTGTCAATAACACTTAGATTTGAGGCAACCCTGTTTCAGTGATCATGCTGTGAAGGTATACTCTCAGGTCGTTACGATTTGATGACGTCATCTGTTCACTCCCAGCCATGTCAGATAAAACAACGTGATGTTTAAAAGACTGATATCATGAATCCCTCAAAGTAATTCATAACGATAGTTACAAAATAATCAGTTGGATACGAAATGTGAATAGCAGCTATTGTCACAAACGGCTGCACAATACTTGCAATGTGTTCTAATATAGTTGTGCAATGTAGGATCGTGTAGTCTCGTTTCTTCTCATAGGTGATCAAGCAGGTCCAGGCAAAATGAAACTCTACTTCATGCATGCTTAACACGTTTTTAGCAACATCAGAGATACACGTACACTCGCCTCGTGGGACGCCAGATGACGTGACCATGTTCATTTGCAGTCTTACTAATTTAATTTGTGAGATGTGGGCATTACATTGGACAGTACTATAGCCGGCACGCTATATATGGGCCGCACATTCATGCCAATCTCGCAGATAATGGAATCTGTCAAAAATATATTTTATTTCCTTTGTTATTAATATTCTTACAGAAAGACAATTCAAATGATTATTTCGTGCAGCATGCGTTCGTCAAACCACCCAGGCTGATAAAGAAGTACGTCAACTTTAATCTCCGTATGCTGTTTGGGTTGAAATGTATCCCACTTTCATTTATTCGCCCAGTAAAGCCCATGTTTAGATTTTATCACTGCATGCCACAAGGAAAAATACACTTTGCAATCTGAGAGTACATTTATGTAAAATAAAGTTAATACGTGAATTCAATTATGTTGTCCCTTTGTTTAGTATTCAATATTTATATGATATTATTATGCCACGTGAAGATATGCTTCCAAAAAACATTATCGTCAAATGTTGTCTTTCTTTATGTACGATGAGTATATACTATACTGAGAAAACTGTGTTTACGAGTTTATATGGGCTTTCAATGTGGATGACATGAAAATTGCAGGATTTTATTCCAGCATTTAGATCAAGGACCATGGCAAACGCTTACTGTCTAGCATTAAACCATTTTGATAGAAACATAAAACTCCATTGAAACGGAGCCCCAGTGAGATGGGATATTTTGAAGCCGTGGAAAATCTAGACTTGCTTCGTGTAGAGCTATAACATTACAGCTGAAGGGGAAAACATATGGTTCAGGGACTGTGAGACGGACTATAGGACGCACCATACTGTCTATACATATAGCAGGCATATAGTGAGTGAGTGAGTGCATTATGGTTAACGCTGCTTTTAACAGTATTCCAGTTATATCACGGCGTGTCAGCTTAATGTCGGTGGAAAGCCCAAAGTGATGCAGGTCTTTACCACTTTGGTGAAACCTACGAGCTGGTGCTGACAAACCTAGAAACATAATCGGGGCGAAACGAGATTCGAACCCACAATCATAGGTTTCTGGCGTGGCCAAGGGACGCAACTCTGGGGCGCCTTAGACGACTGGGCAGCCCGTGCCCCCGAGCAAGGATATACTCCGAAACGATGTGTTCCTTACATAATAAAGATGCTGCCATTCATAAATTCTCACTAATGCTTTCCTACGTTCGGAACACACGTATGCTAACTTATATAAAAATCTAATCAGGCCTATTCGCGACACGGACCTACGGATACGGTCGAGTGTCAAGTAAATTTCCGTATTTCCGGAAGTCGCAGGATTTGCATAATTAATTTTCAAGATGGACTTATAATGAGTAGGTTATTCTCTAAGTCTTCTACTCGGTTAGATTAACATTTGGTCACAGAAATAAAAGTATCTAAAGTTTATCTAAAAACTACATTTATCTACAATAAGCAAAATGAAATCCAAATGGAGCCCAGAAAAAAATGCTTAATTTAGAGCAGGGGCAATCTAAACTTGCCAATTCTTCTAAACTTGAGTTCCTTTGTTGATATAATCTGGGAGACAGACTACTTTTCCGTCTGTCCAGAAATCTACATCAAATGTAAACATTCGAAAACATCCTATTATATAAACACTAAGAGGATAATAATTGAAAAAGAATTGTCAGCTAACAAAACTGACATTTTTGCAATGTGCCTTTCAGAAAATTATAGTATGGCTGATGGTATTCATTAAAATATATCTGGTCTCAATTCAGAATCTCAGCCCACCCACCTCCACCCCAGAATATCATAATATGGTCGATCCCTAACACTCGGGTCTGTATGGGAACACGACGTATTTGGAATGCTCTGGCTGCGATGTTCACTGGACCGAGCAGGAACTGGTCAACTGGGACTCTGGCTACAGGCTGTCATGACATTCCGATACAGGACACGGCTACAGCTCCCGCGGCGCGTCATACGCGGTCTGGCAGCCGCCACCGTTGTCAGGCAGGCCATATTGAAACAAACAACAATCTCTGGACATGCGGAACGAATAAGTGGCCAGGCTAATAAATAAGCTGTACATCCAGGCTAATAAATAAGCTGTACATCTAGGCTAATAAATAAGCTGTACATCCAGGCTAAGTAAGCTGTACATCCAGGCCAATAAATAAGCTGTACATCTAGGCTAATAAATAAGCTGTACATCCAGGCTAAGTAAGCTGTACATCCAGGCCAATAAATAAGCTGTACATCCAGGCTAATAAATAAGCTGTACATCCAGGCTAAGTAAGCTGTACATCCAGGCCAATAAATAAGCTGTACATCCAGGCTAAGTAAGCTGTACATCCAGGCTAATAAATAAGCTGTACATCCAGGCTAAGTAAGCTGTACATCCAGGCCAATAAATAAGCTGTACATCCAGGCTAATAAATAAGCTGTACATCCAGGCTAAGTAAGCTGTACATCCAGGCCAATAAATAAGCTGTACATCCAGGCTAAGTAAGCTGTACATCCAGGCCAATAAATAAGCTGTACATCCAGGCTAATAAATAAGCTGTACATCCAGGCTAAGTAAGCTGTACATCCAGGCCAATAAATAAGCTGTACATCCAGGCTAAGTAAGCTGTACATCCAGGCTAATAAATAAGCTGTACATCCAGGCTAAGTAAGCTGTACATCCAGGCCAATAAATAAGCTGTACATCCAGGCTAATAAATAAGCTGTACATCTAGGATAATAAATAAGCTGTACATCCAGGCTAATAAATAAGCTGTACATCCAGGCTAAGTAAGCTGTACATCCAGGCCAATAAATAAGCTGTACATCTAGGATAATAAAAAAGCTGTAAATCTAGGATAATAAATCAGCTGTACATCTAGGCTAATAAATAAGCTGTACATCCAGACTAATAAATCAGCTGTACATCTAGGATAATAAATAAGCTGTACATCTAGAATAATAAATAAGTTGTGCATCCAGGCTAATTAATAAGCTGTACATCTAGAATAATAAATAAGCTGTACATCTAGACTAATAAATAAGCTGTGCATCTAGACTAATAAATAGCTGTGCATCTAGGATAATAAATAAGCTCTACATCTAGGATAATAAATAAGCTGTACATCTAGGATAATAAATAAGCTGTACATCTAGAATAATAAATAAGCTGTACATCTAGGATAATAAATAAGCTGTCCATCTAGAATAATAAATAAGCTGTACATCTAGACTAATAAAAAAGCTGTACATCTAGACTAATAAATAAGCTGTACATCCAGGCTAAAAAATAGGCTGTACATCTAGACTAATAAATAAGCTGTACATCTAGACTAATAAATAGCTGTGTATCAGGATAATAAATAAGCTGTACATCTAGGATAATAAATAAGCTGTACATCTAGGATAATAAATAAGCTGTACATCTAGACTAATAAATAAGCTGTAC